TGAGCTCTATTTCCAATATTTAATTTAAACAGTTTTTTTGTTTGATACCAAAATGGAATAATTATAACAATAAATAATAATATATATAAAGGTGAAAAAAACAGAGGCACTCAGAAGATACAAAATAATTAAGCCTTTAATACCAAATGGCAGATAAAGTTAAAAGCCCTTCACTGAAGAGGACCGAAAGAACAATTCTGCAAAATTTTTGTATTTCCAAGTAGCACTCCTGCCCCCAATGTTTTGCATAATAATATATACATTTTTTATTGTCATTAAAATATTTATCTCTATTTTTTTTTTTATTTAAAGTGTTCCATCCTTAGTTACAGTTATTCAGATTTTTATTTATTTTTTAATTAATACTTCAAAACTCAAGATGCAAACAGAGACACCACACAAAATCACCTCAAAACACAATAATTGCACAAAAAAATAAACAAAAAAACAAACAAAAACACATTCACGTACAAAGGGAATAATTCAGAGTAACAAATCAAAATCATTCAAAAAAGACACAAGAAACCTGACCTCTTTTATTCAATTAGGTTCAGTGAGCTAAAATAACGTTTCAGGTTATTCTTCAACTGCGTTATTTTTGGTGTTTTTCATTCTTAATTGAAATTCAAAAGAACGAATGGCACACGGACCCACCTTGTGACGTCATGAAGTGGTTAACGGCGACCTTTCAGCTTTCTCGTTTAGTAGAGATTGACTCTTCCAAAAGCGAAAGTATCCAAACGATTCTATTGAAAGCGTGTGTAAGTTTAAAAACACAACGGAGCCCTTCCTGTATTACCACGTGACATCACGAGGTGGAACGGCGTGTTTTCAGTCTGAGAGACGAGCTCAGACTAAATACGCAGGGTTTGTGTGTTAAACATGTGTGAACGAAACAAAACAAACAACTCTGGGGAGGTTTGCGGTGAGGAAACATTATAACATAGATCAGAACATGGCGTGATGGGCCCCTTAAGACCTGAAGCCGGGTCCCAGAGTCTTGTACGATGCTCGCCCAACGCTCCCGACGAGTTTAAGGAGCTAAAAGTTGGGTCAAATTCAGAAAACGCGTCTTTACGGGGACAAATCGCACAACGTTTCGACTTTATATCATATGTTCTCAGGTCTTACAAAACATCACCTCATTGTTTGTGCTGCCCAGAGCCACAATCCAGTCCAGATGTGCGCATTGAAAAGTTTAGACTCAGCGATGTTTAGTTTGGGGCTGAAATGAGGAACTAAAACCACAAGATTAAAACCGTCTAAATAAATAAAGCTTCAGTGGAACTCACACTTGCACTAATGGAGCGTGAAGTAAATGATTCATTAGTCCATTTCTCACAATTTGAAGGAATGACGCTGGGGTTTTAACCATTGACTGTAGGCGTAAATGGACAAAGCTGACCCGCTAGTCGCCGTGCTTCAATAGAAGGTGAGCATGGGCGCGCTTTTGGCTCCATCGACTCTGGCTCCAATTCACTTTCTGTTAAAAAAAACGTTGCTCTTCTCTCTAAAACTGCTGCTGTCAGACTCGTCATTTTGGTCGTAAAATGTTCACATTGACCCGCTCTACATGATCCTGGTGGTTTTATTTCAATATTTTGACTATTTCAACTTAAAACGATGAAAATGTGACATATAAAGTTAAATACCTGTTCCAGATTTTGAGTGCAGCTGCTAGAAAAGCTATAATCAGGAGATGGCTAAATTCACAAATACCAACATTGGATGAAAGGTTTGAGTTTGTTTATGATATTTTTAAGATGGAGAGAATTATTTTTAGTATTAAGACTGCAACAAAACTAAATCAGCTTTTATATCAAAATAAAATGAAATGTGAATGTAACCAGACCAAATGTCGGGCCATGTTTTTTTCCTTTTTACCAATCTTCCTGAAGCAGCACATATTTCTTCAGTCTGTTGATTGGGAAGAAATATTAATTATTTCCTTACCTGCCATGAACACCATTTATAAGCAGCGCAACACAAGAAACTTACAAACAGAATTTGTTCAAAAATCATTCAGAATAACTTAAGTATGTATTTCATTGAAATATGTCAGATAAAATCCTGAAAAAGTTGTGGCACAATTGAGACCACATCATTTTTGCATGTTTTTTTTGTATGTATGAACAAATGTGTTGAGATATATTGTAAATTGCGTGTGTACAATATATATGTATGATGACAAAAAATGTTTTTGTTTTTTTATATGTATATAGATTAACTAACTTAGTTTCATAAAGGATACAATTCAGGGGGACTTTACAGCTTGGGGACTTTCTAGCTGGTTCCCAGCAAATGCTATGGGCTTTTCCACCTTTAAGGCACTCAAAGCTTTACAACAAGGAACCATTCACACACCAGTGTACACAGACACTGAAGACGAGGTGGGTTAAATGTCTTGCCCAGGGGCACAACAACAGCATTCATCTGTGTGAGCTGGACTTGCCCTGCCGTCAGTGGATCATCATCTGTAGGAGCCAAGTGAGTGGATCTGATCCCAAGAGCGGAATTTGAACTGCCAACCTTTAGATCAGTGGACAAACGCTCTACCAACTGAGCTACTCCCACTTTTTTATAGTCTATGGTTGTAGGGAGTATTATACTGGGACTGAGCTGGCAATAAAAGCACTGAGAACAGCACAGAAATGGGATTTCTCTAGCATAGTATCAAAATCGATGTTGAAATTTTAGTATTGTGACAACACCACTAAGGAACAGACTTGATACTCGATACTCTGATTCTAATACCACAATTATAAACAAAAACACTCTTTATTTAGACAATAGAATACTTTCAACATTAAATCGTAGTACTTTCTTTTATATTCCCATGTGGTCTTATATCAGTCGTCCAAACAGCAAAATAAAAACACCAGGATCATGATAATACAAACATTTTAAAAGCAAAATAACGAGGCTCACGGCAGCAGTTACAGAGAGAGAGGTGAAAGTCAATGGGAGCCAGAGTCAGTATATACAGTCTATGGCGTATACGAGTCTATGTGCTCTTATACTTGTTCTGATACAGCTTGAAATCATTCTAAAGTTATTCAGAAAGCTTCATGCCTGTCCTGTGTTTGTGACTTTTACCTGTCAGCATTAGCTCCTGTCTGCTTCTCCATCTGTAACCCATCTGCTAACTACCTCACTGTTTTACCCCTGGATCCTCCGCAGCTCCTGTCCACAGTCCAGACCTGAGACCTGGGAGGGGCCTGGTGAACTGCTTCATTCAAACCAGCTGTGACTTTTTAACTTTCTACCATTTTTTTCCCCCCATTTTTGTAACTTGATTCTTCAGTTCGAGCCTTCCCTGCCGGATAAGTAACTACTACCTTTGAGTGTAATTCGTCTAAAAGGATTGGAAAGATGTTATCGGAGAATGTACGGCTCATGTTTAGTCATTATGTCTGCTTTAGGAAGATTAAATGGAGTGTTAAAAGTTCTGAGTTGGAGATAAGATAGTGCAGACAGAAGCTTGTTTTGCTAAACCAGGCTTATCGTGGCTACATTAAGTTATCTTTGGGAAAACAACTCTGATGATGTGGGGTGAACTCAGCAGAAAATGGAGACAGGTTTCTATCAGGGCTTTCTACCGCACGACAATTCTCCAGAAATATACAAAAGCATGATACAAAACAGTACACAACTTCACAAACCTGACGTTCAGTAGTTTCATTGAGGGAGTGAGCGCAAAGGGAGGTGAAAGTGACTTATAAAACATGTTTATGCATGTTTACAACAAATACAGCATGTTCAAAATAATAAAAGGTAACATGGTGATCTAAATGTGTTATGGATTAGCAGTTAATACCCCATTGAAGTAAAATATCCCCTTTTTAAACTCTTAAAAAATTTTATCAGGTAACTAATTATTTTATTTTGATTTTAGGGATTTGGTGACAGCAGATGCTTGTTTATGTTAAAGGGACAGTTCGGAATTTTGGACATAGGACCTAATTTCCTCATGAGCCAGAGTGTTGGAGATGTGTGGAGACACTTTTTGAAATATTCCATCCAGTCCTTGTATTTGCAGAGGTCACTGGTGCTAGACTAGTGCATGTCAATGGCCATAGTTATCCTGACACTAAAAACAGTCTTACCCACTCCACAAAACACCCGAAGCAAATCTGTTATTATACCGCTGCTGCTGAATCCATGGTTTCATCACATGCCCAGTAGGGTTGGGCAGTATCCAAATTTTGATACTGTTAAACCTTAGGATTTTACCGGGGTATATGGTATTGCCAAAATGTTTTAGTACAACTTTAGTAAGATATGAAACCGCACCACTATACGGTCTATGCTTATGACCTGCAGACTTATAATCTCTGAAAAGTTTCACATGAACCATCTCCAATATGTTACGCAGACTCACAGAACAGACTCATCATCAGCAGCACATCCTCTGTCAGAGAGAAAACACATATAATCCACTGAGTCATGTCCTTTAGTCCAACAGAAGCTGAACTGCATCAGCGCACAAGGAAAGAGTTTATGCAAATGAGCCATGTGGTTTAAGTTTTGTTTCTGTAAAACGTAAACAAATGCGCCTGAAGCCAAAATGCTGCCAAATTGCAGAGTACTAGTATTTTTTGGGGACCAGTTCACAGCTTGTCTTGGTCTCCCTTATGAGCGTCACATGACAATGGAATGAAACTAATCAATTGTCATCTTCCCACGCAGTTAAAAGAAATGTTATAGATACTAATAGTTTTAAATCGTAATAGCATTAAATTGAAAATACAACCACACATTCATTTGTGCCGAGCAAACAAATGTAGGTATCAATAAATTATAATGTTATATTAGGTCCTTATGCACTGCAGATTTTTTTAATGATGGTAATGAAACTGATATCATTGCTACTTTTTGATACTGCGAGATAACGTAATACCGTATCACCGTCCAACCCTAATACCCAGTGTCGGTAAGTGTAAATAGAGCCTATACAGACTAATTTACTAATGTTTTCTTGTTTTTTTTCTGTGTAACAGGCATGTGTAACCCTAAGAACTACAGCGACTCACCCGCGACCTCTAAGAGCACGGTGGAGGAACTGCACCGGCCCATCCCTTCCCTGTTCCGCGCTCTGACCGAGGGAGACACACCCATAAACATGATGGTGTGGTCGTTTCCTGTGGCTGAGGAACTGTCCCACCACGAGAATCTGGTGTCTTTCCTGGAGACGCTCGAGAACCAGCACCAGAACGTGTCTCTGCCCGGCAACAGTATCCATGCCAACTATGATGGACAAGGTAAAACCACTACTGCTCAAGTTAGAGTCAGTTTTATTCATATTCGTTTCCCCTTTTTGGTTTATCCTAGTTTATAACTACTCAAATCATGTAATCCTAGGCTACTTTCGACTTGGAGTAAACTTTGTTTAGGCCTGATATAATCTGGTGATACTTGGAGAGCTGAATATTTTTTGTTAACTACTGGTACACACTACATAAAGTATTCAAAAGGTGAGGCTTGCCTCCCCCAGGGGGCACCAAAGAGCCACTGGGGAGGTGCGACACACACTCGAAGAAAAAATAACGGTCCACATCTGTACACATCTGCAGCAGAATTGATATCGGTAACTGTGCGTGTATGTATTCGCTGTAAAATCTGCCAACCTCATAGTTTAGAGTGTCACCTTTTTTGCCTTGTATACGACACGTGGACCGCACTTCCTCCCGTATGCAATGTGGCCATGCCTCTGAACCAGAACTAAAACCACGACTAAACCAGGACTAAAATCAGGACTAAAACCAGGTCTAAACCAGGTCTAAACCAGATCTAAACCAGATCTAAACCAGGTATAAACCAAGTATAAACCAGGTATAAACCAGATATAAACCAGGTATAAACCAGGACTAAAATCAAGACTAAACCATGCCGCTCACACCACTCCTCCTTTCGTGCACCACACACACCGTGCCTCCTATGCTGCCAGTCCATGAAGATATTGTCGTGAAAAGAGAGCCGCAGCAACTTAATAATAACCTTGTGTGTCGGAATGGCAGAATGTTGCAAAAATTGTTTATGAATGCTCTTAAAAAAAAAAGAAGAAAAGAAAATACAGTATTTAAAAATATATATTATTAAAAATCTGTTGTTATTGAAACTCATCATTGCAGGAAAACAACAGATGCATTTACTTCAAAGGTCTGTGTGGGGGTGGACAGGCTGATGGGATTTTGGGGAAGGGAGGGGCTCGGTCGTCTTTAAGGGGAGGCTCACATTCACCAAATTTGAAAACCCCTGGTGTATACTTATATTTATACGTGAAACGGTGAACGTGTCATCTAACCACAGTGAATTACAGAAATACTTTCAGAACTATTCACCAGTTACTTCTTCTTGTTCTCAAAGTGCCGTTCTCATGAGTCTGAATAATCTGAATGACATACAAGTCTTATTATTTAAAGAGCCCATATTATGCTATTTTCTGATCTATTCTAAGTTATGTGATGTGAATGAAGCAACACACAACTCCAGGTATGTTTTTGAAGAGGTAACAGCATTAAAACATGGATAAAATTTCACAGGACTCAAATCTGCGTAATATAGGACCTTTTAAATAATACTATAAGTTGATATTAACAAACTTATACAATATTAATAATAATTCGTGACTGTCTTTTCCCCTGTTGTTGTTGTGCAACCCACATTAAACCCAACCCACACTTACGAGTCTCTGTTTTACTGCACATTTTTAGGAAGTGGTAAAGGTGATAAAAGTACTGTTGTCTGTATTTCCGTCACATGTTGTTGGGCCCTGACTCGTAATAGCAATGATTCACTTCACTCTCAGCTCGCTCCAAAACATGTGTTTATACTTTACTCCAGTCAGCCTCCACCAGAAGGATGGAGAAAGACAGTGTTTTTGGCGACATCTAGAGGCAAAACTGCTCACTACAACACGTGCTGGTGGAATATTTTGTAGCAGGAGGGACTGTTGTGTATAAGTGAATAAATTGTAGTGGTCACTTATGTCATTTTTCCAGCAGCCAGCTCTAGGACTGCTACTTTTTTATGTTTTTTTAGTATTTAAAAGTCCTGTATTGGGTTTTAAGCCGTGTTTATAATTCTCTTACTCCTCAAAAACATACCTGGAGTTGTGCTTTGCTTCATTCACAATAACAATAATAACATAGACCAGAATACAGAGTAATGTGGGCCATTTAACTCTGAGAAGAATTAATCTGATATGAGTTAGACGTGTTCAAATCAAATATGGCTCTTACCGGTAACAGTTGTAATGGTGATTAATTACTAAAACACTGGACATGATGGCCAAGTTATTTGTTATAATTTGGTGTTTTGGTTCTCAGTTAGAAAGCAGAATGAGCTTCACATGAGTCTCGCATTTGGGTTTCCAGTTTCAGTGCTGAAATCCAGTTGGTTTAAACCTAAAATGTCTCTCTCTGATCTGAATGGTCTCTACATAAACACCAGCATATGCAGCCAGCCATGATGTACTGAGAACTGAGTACTGAAAAATGCATAATGAAGAAGAAAAAAACATATATAAGTCGCATTGAACTATAAGTCACATTAAGGCATAGTAATAACAATAGAACAGAGAACAACAGGCTGTTAACGTCACATATGAACAGTTCTTCATATAAACTATAACATAAACAACAGAACAGAACAAGTTTACCAAACTCTCCATCTCACTCCAAATCACTAAATCCATTGAATTCTTCATCCTCTGTGTCACTTCTGAGAAACTCTGCGACCTCCGAAGGTAAACGGAGCGCTGCTTTCTCTTCTGTGTAGCTGTCGTCAGACTCAGCATCAGTTCCAGTTAGAATTATTCCAGCCTGTCTGAATTCTGACAGGATGGTTTCGGTGTCACTGAAGTCCAGGCTTTGTCCATCCATTCAATGACTCCAGGAAAGTTGCATGGTGCAACATGGTGTTGTGGTCACTGTTTCTTGGTCACTCCAAACTTTCTTTCTCCTGCTTTATTACTGTTTTCAGCTGCATATGCTACTTGTGGCTTGTAATCTGTAAATCGCATGGCCACCCAAACCATAAAAAAAGTGCAACTTGCAGTTGGAAAAATACAGTATATATCCTCTATATGCAGTTTAGACACTGGTAGGTTTAGGTTGTTACCGTGAAAACTACCACTGCATGACATCACAAGTTAGAACAGAGCATTTTGAGCTTTGGAAATGTAGACAGTCTAGTAAACCAGTGTGTAAAATCCCTCAACCCCTCAATGTCAAAGGAGAAATTCAATTTGTCAACTGGACAAAAGTTTATTTTGGTCGAATACATTTCTCAGCTCATCCAAGCTGCTCCTTCAGTTCTGGTCAGTTTCAGAGTAATTTCAGTGTAGTTAGCTCCTCCCTGCAGGCAGATATACAAATATACAAATACAGTTATACAAAACACAACTCCAGGTATGTTTTTGATGAGGTAACAACATTCTAACATGGCTCAAAGTTCACAGGAGTCCACTTTGTGTAATATAGAACCTTTAAGTTACACACATTTGATTTGTTTCCTTTCTCCTCTTCCTCTTGTTGCAGAGAGCATGTGCACGGTGGTGTACTTTGACGACTGCGTATCCATCCACCAGTGTAAACAGTACTGCGAGTCTATGGGAGGATCCAAGTACCGCTGGTTCCACAACGCGTGCTGTCAGTGCATCGGGCCCGAGTGTGTGGACTATGGCTCCAAAGCCGTCAAATGCATGAACTGCCTTTTCTGATCCCACCCAAACACCCCGGACTTTCACACTTTCACAACACGTTAATAAATGATCAGATGATTTTTTTTTTGGTGATGTCACTGTCTCAGATGTAATCCTAATTCCTGTATTGATTTGTAAAGTGTTTTGATGTGAAAAATCGACAAATGTTATACCTAATCATTTATATTAGTAATAAGTTTGTGTGATTACAATGCTGAAAGGTGTAAGAGACAATATGGGCAAACCTGATTTACAATTATTATCAAATCAAAATGTGTATGAGTTCAAGCCACTGCCAAAATTTTACCAAAAAATAAGACATTTCATATATTTTTGGAATTATTGGAAAAAATATTGGAGAGTACTGTATTAACTGAGGTAAGTCTGTTTTCCTAACTATACAAAACTCGCTTCAAAAAGTTGGTTCAAAACATGCAAGTGAATTCATTTACAAATTTCAAAATATTTTTCTTTTCAAAATATTAACCTAATCTGGCTACAGGATAATATTTTTAAATTTTAAATGTGTGCATAATTACTTTTTTTTTCTTTTTCAGTCAATACAACTTTTACACACATGTTTAAGCGAAATTTTAAAAATCAAATTTAAAATGTTTGTAATTTTTGCAAGTTTTATACACCTAAATAACAGTTTTTCTTATCTCTTCTGCACTAAAGAGCTGCAGAACAAATGTTTTCAAAAAAAGTTGTCTCAAAATCATAGACTGTATATAGAAATGAACATAGGAAGTGAGCATGAGCGCACTTCCTGGCTCCACGGACTCTGGCACCAATTCACTTTCTATTGAAAAACCTTCACCCCTCTTTCTGTAACTGCTGCTGTCATGCTCGCCGTTTTGGTCTTAAAATGTTCGTAATAACCCACTCTATCCTGTGATCCTGTTTTTTATTTGCCATTTTGTTGGTAAATCAAGATATGAACATTAATAACAGACCAACAAGGTGCTGTCTTTTCCCCTCGATGAGCTTCATTTGACTGGAAATGAACATCACACTCTTGTCCACGTCTTTATACAGTCCGTGTTCAAGTTATGAATTGTAGTTTTGTCCTTTTTAAACTTATACTGTCACACATTTTTGATTCTTGTTTCTAAAATAATCCAATCAAATCACGAAATCAGCGATCATTTTGTTTGCCCTGTTTGTAAAAAGTAGTGCCCCTCTGTAAAATAGCCCCGCCCCTGCCCAATATAAAAGCCCTAAGCACAATGTGTAAGTCTGCTGTGTTTTCCACTGTATATTTTTTTAGATATATTTTCAATAGTGTTTTTTACTAGATGAGTTTATGGTGAATATAATGTATTTTTACACTTATGATCGGCTGTTACGCAAGTCTTGTGCCAAATAAAAACCTGTTTGGTGTTGGAGACAGTTAAAGATGCAAGTGAGTTCTTTTATTTTGTATAAAACTGAGAACTGTATTTTTAAAAATGTATTTAAAAAAGATGTTATGTCAACGTATATACAATTTAATTTGAAGTAAGTCAAATAAAATAATGTAATTTTGTGTTCATGCCATAGTCCTAATTATGGAAGGAAGGAAGGAAGGGCATCTGGCATAAATACAAATATGAAATGTTAATGCCAAGTGAATATTTCAGGATTTATGAATATCTTTAAGATTTTTTTCTATTCTATTCTACCTTGAATTTCCAAAGAATATTAATACATTGTTTTCTTGATTACCTTAAATAAAATAAAATGTTGGATTCATATAAAAAGGCTACGATTTATATATTTGTACATTTCATGGTCTACCAGAATAAGATCCAAAATTATAAAATTGAACATAATCGGAAAATTTAAAAAAAGCTGATAGAGTTTTGGCTTTTGCTGTGAAAGTTGACGCTTCAAATCCTGCTCTTAAACATCATTTGTCCACTTAGATCCACAGGTTGGAGGTCCGATTCCAGCTCCCACTGATGAATTCTGCGGTTGTGTCCTTTGGCAAGCCACTGCGCGCACTGAAATATAAATGGGAGTGGTTTCTTGATGTAAAGTGCTTTGAGTCACAGAAAATGTGGCAGTTCAGCATTTGTTTTGTGGCCTGGCAAATTCAGAAAGGTTATTTTTTCTGCGGCGTGATTTCAGTCTGGTCCCCAATGTTTCCTTTTTAGTGTTTGAGACCCGGTCGAGCATGATTGTGCAGTCCGATTTGTTTTTTTTCAGTGACATGAACAAAAAATCTCCTTGGTCATCTATAATTTATAAATAAAATCATTTCTTTCATTGTTTATTGTTTATTTAAGGATCCCAGTAGTAGAATTGCACAGACTTCTCTTCCTGGGGTCCACACTCTTATTAATTGACTGTACATTAGTAAATCACATACCATACCAACTTTATTTATAAAGCACTTTAAAAACTTTACAGTAAACCAAAGTGCTGTACACAAACACAGGACAGACAAACAATCGCAGTAAAAGAAATATATGGTACACATAAATACAGCTACTAAAAACATAGAAAAACAGTAAAATACTCAACAAGAAATATACATGTCACTTATTAAAAGCCAGTGAAAAAAGGTACGTTTTTAGGAGTGATTTAAAAACAGGTACAGACTCGGCCTGTCTAATCTCTAATGGCAACTGGTTCCGCAGCCGAGGGGCAGAAACAGAAAACGCACGGTCCCTACGAAGTTTACGTTTAGTTTTTGGGACGGTGAGCTGGAGCTGGTCTGCTGCCCTGAGAATGCAAGAGGGGACATAAGGGTGGATCAAGTCAGTGAGGTAGGAGGGTGCTAGGCCGTGCAAACACTTAAAAGTAAATAAAATAATTTTAAAATCAACTCTAAAAGACACTGGGAGCCACATAATAGTCAGTACATAACAGTGACTTTTATCATGAGAGGAATATGCAGAAGACACATCAGTTCAGTTTGGTTAGCATTGATTTATTGAGATGTTTTTAAAAGCAAGATGAATGTGTATCAGTATTATTTCTTGAGGCAGCTTATTCCAGTGAGAAATGGCTCTGTATATAAAAGTTTTTTTGGTGCATTTGTTCTTGGTTTAGGCAGCACAGGAGGCTCGTCTTGTGTTATACCCATGTCTGTTACAGGTTTGCTGTAGATGTGAGATCAGACTCAGAGGTCTGTGTATCGTCCAGAGTCCAGACTTTGTGCAAGGACAGAACCGAACTACATGTGAGTCTCTCTTTGACTTTCATCCATGACTGTCTCTTGGGCTACATTTACACGTAGCCTGGTATGTTGAGAAACAAATATTTCCCTCTCTCTGTTTTTTAAAATAACATTGTGCACATAGCAGAGTTTTCAAAAAAGTTTTTGTTTACATCAACCTGTATAAATACACCATCGAGTGTCATAACTACACCCAACCTCTGGAGGCACCTGGATTAGATTCAAACCTGTAGCATTTATTTCATTACAGTTGTAAATTTTACTCAAAAATGCCTTGAAAAACATGTATGCAAGTGAGTGGGCTCGCCTCTCCACAGATCTGTTAAAGAAGTGGCAAAATTGCTGACCTGCGAGCCTCATTGGTTTCTCTTCATGAATATGATCCATCGGCTGTGTGTGCAAATGCAAATACATGAAAAGTGTTTCACCAGAAGAAATGCGACTGCTGCTCTGATGCTCCATCATCATCATCAGAGCAAAAGATAAACATTGGTCGTACTTTTTGCGCATCAGCTCCTAAAACTCTGTTTATCTAATTTACACGCAAACACGAAACCATAGTTTTCCAGAATGTCAACTCTAGCCAGAGTTTTTAAAGAGATTTGTGTTCAGGGGCAAATCTGCAGTGTGCGTGTAAAAGATGAGTACAAAAGAAGGGAAATGTCTCTGTTTTTAAAAATACCTGTGTACATGTGAATGGGGCCTTGCGCATAACATAACATTACCTCACCTCACATTAACAGAGTTTAGAAATCTTAGATGTTTTTCAGTTACCAGTGATATTTTTGTCCTTGATTTTTTCCTTTACAGACGAACCATGCGTGTTTCTGATTGGTTAACCCACCTGTCAATCACACCAATCTGAAAACGGCAAGATTCATTGATGACCAGACTCACATTTTTGTAAAGTTTTGAAGAAGTGTTTATTCTGGATCCCAGGCAATTTATTATGTAAAATACACACACACACACACACACACATGCACACATGCACACACACACACACACACAGCAGAAATACTTGCGTTAGTTGTTAAAAATGTCCACAGTTGTCTGACCCATAATGCACATGTTGGATTGTGTCCCATGTTTTTGTCCATATTTGTGTGTGTGTTTGTTTCCCACACTGATCCGTCTGTTCTGGTGAAACGCACCATTTCCTCACAGCACAAACATGTGATTATAGAACTGTGGTCCACAGGTGTTCAAATGCTCATCCGAGCGGACGGAGACACAGAAAGAGAGAGAGAGGGGGAGGAGAGAGGGAGGAGAGGGGGAGGAGAGGTGGAGAGGTGGACAGAAATAGAAAGAAGTGATGGGGGAAGAGAAAAGGGGAAACAGGGAGAACTAGAGGGAGAGACAGAGAGAGAGAGAGATGGAGAAAAGAAGAGAGAGGGAGGAGGATGGAGAAAAGAAGAGAGAGAGAGGGGCAGTGAGAGAGAGAAGAGAGACAGAGAGACAGGGAGGAGGATGGAGAAAACAAGAGAGAGAGGGGCAGCAAGAGAGAGAGAAGAGAGACAAAGAGAGAGGGAGAAGGATGGAGAAAAGAAGAGAGAGAGGGGGCAGCGAGAGAGAGAAGAGAGACAGAGAGAGAGAGAGAGGAGTAATGGAGAAGAGAGACAGAGAGAGAAAAGAGAGATAGAGAAGAAAAGAGAGAGGAGAGAGATGGAGATGGAGAAGTGAAAAGAGACAGAAAGAGAGAGAGAGATGGAGGGAGGGAGATGAGGAGAAAGTAGAGTCAGAGAGAGCAAGAGATAGATTGAGAGTAGAGATAAAGAAAGATGGGGGAAAAGAGAGAGAGGTAGAGATAGAGAGGAGAGAAAGAGGAGTGATAGATCAAAAGGAGGAGAGATGGAGTGAGGACGGAGGGAGGTAGGGAGGGCAGTGAGTGATGCCAGCTCCTCTGTGCTCCACAAATGCTCTTTGTTGAGGCCGGTGCCCGTTGAAAAGCAGCAGGGACCCTGTCACCCAGTCTGCTCCCGACTGGCACAAGGGCACAACAACAAAACAGCAGACCACACAGAGAGACGCGCTCTGTGTGTGTTTACTCTGACTGTACACCTAAAAAAAACACAACAGATGGACACACTTTACAGCACTTTAACAAAGAACGCTACAGGGGAAAAGAGAAACAGAGAGAGAGAGAGAGAGAAAGTTAAAGGGGCTGAGAGACAGAGAGAGAGAGACAGAGAGAGAGTGAGAGAGATATAGAAGAGGAGAGTGAGACAGAGAGAGAGTGAGAGACAGAGAGTGAAAGAGACAAAGAGAGAGATGCAGAAGAGAGAGAGATGGAGAAGAGGAGAGAGAGAGACAGAGTGTAAGAGAGACAGAGAGAGAGAGAGACAGAGAGAGTGAGAGAAATGGAGACGAGAAGAGAGAGAGAGACAAAGAGAGAGGAGAGAGAAACAGAGAGAGAGAGAGAGATGGAGAAGAGACAGAGAGCCAGAGAGAGCGATGGAGAAAAGGAGAGAGAGAGAAAGTGAGAGAGTGGCAGAGAGAGAGAGAGAGAGAGAGACAGAGAGAGGAGATAGAGAGAGAGACAGAGAGAGCGAGAGAGAGAGACAAAGAGAGAGATGGAGAAGAGGAGAGAGAGACAGAGTGTAAGAGAGACAGAGAGAGAGAGACAGAGAGAGTGAGAGAAATGGAGAAGAGAAGAGAGAGATGGAGAAGAGGAGAGAGGAAAGATGGAGAAGAGAGACAGAGAGAGAGGAGAGAGATGGAGAAGAGAGACAGGAGAAGAGAAATGGAGAGAGATGAGAGAGATGGAGAAGAGAGAGAAAGAGAAGAAAGAAGAAGAAGAAGAAAGAGAGGAGACGGGGGAAAGGAAAGAGAGAGAGAGGTGAGAGAAAGAGAGAGGGGGGAAGAGAGGAGGAAAGAGATAGAGGAGAGAGAGTGTGAGAGAGACACAGGGGGAGAGAAAGAGGATAGAGGAGTGTGAGAAAGAAACAAGAGACAGGTTATTCTCCTTATCCTGAGAGAGAAGAGAGAGAGAGAAAACAGAGGGAGGGTAGAGAGAGAGAGACAGGCGGCAGAGAGGTGAGAAAAAGAGGAGAGAGAGGGAGAGAGGTGCTAGTGACCCCCTTTCCCCGGCGCAGCTGTGGGACAGAGCCTGAGGAGCAGCACATCAAAGTTACGAGATAATGTGTTTCAGATGCCCGTGACCACCGACCACAATGCCCTGAGAATAAGACCTCATAATGCCTCAAAATAGCACGTGGTTTATTTAAATTCACATCATTTCAGTCGTTTCAACGGCCTCGTGTCATGTTTTTACTCAGTTTACACAATCTGCGGTCAGAGTGGAAGCGACTGTGTGCAGCTCTGGCCCCTACTGGTCGAACACGGGTACTGCAGTCTTTTATAAATACATTTTTCACAACGAGAAAAATGTTAAAACTTAAAACAATTTGTGTCTGTGAGGAGGAGGAGGAGGAGGAGAGAAAGAGGGGATAGAGAGAGAGAGAGAGAGCAGAAAGAAGGAGAGGAGAGAAACAGGGGATAGAGTGAGAGAGAGGGAAAGAGAGGAGATGGGGAGAGGAGAGAAAGGAAATAGAGAGAGAGAGGAGAAAAGAGGAGAGAATGAGAGAAGACAAGGGGAGAGGAGAGAAAGAAGGAACAGAGAGAGAGAGGGGGAAGGAGAGAAGGGGGATAGAGAGAGAGAGGAGAGAAAGAAGAGAGAGAGAGGAGGGAGAAGGGAAGAGGAGAGAAAGAGAGGAGAGAGCAGAGAGGGGGAGAGGAGAGAAAGAGGAGATGGAGAGCGAGAGAGAAAGAGAGGAGACAGAGGGAGAAGAGAGAAAGAGGGGATAGAGGGAGAGAGAAAGAGGGAGGGGGGGACAGGGGGAAATGAGAGAAAGGGGTTAGAGAGGAAAAGAGAGAAGCAGGAGGGGGAGAAGAGTCTTTATTTTTTAGTGTGTGAGACAAAACTTCAATAAATGATCAGAATATTAAAGGTGCACTATGTAACTTTTCAGGTGGGGTAAGATAGCGGCTTGTCTCCATGGCGATGTTCCTTCGTCAGTCTGCTCCACAGAATAGCGCTAAATTTGTTTATCTTCATGGAGCGATGAAGAGTTGAGTTCACATAGTGCATGTTAGTTGCAAAGTGTTTTTAAATTATTTATATTCATATGCAGAGGTTGGTAGAGTAGCCAACAATTTTACTTAAAAGTAACTAAAAGTAAATTTAAATAATAAAATAAACAAAATGATATTACTCAAGTAGAAGTACAAAGTAGTGGTCCTAAAAAGTGGTCCTAGTCTAACTTGAAATCAATATACTTTGAAGGACAAAACAGTAAAGAATGCACAAAATCTGATATTTTCAAAGGACAGACACAAAAATTAGACAAACTAAATCACATCTGAAGGAGGAGCTGCAAAAAACACAAACGTTCAAATCATTTCATATTGTTACATAAAGCTTTTGTCAGTTGTAGATTTAGTCACAGTGGGAAGAGTAACCACAACTTTTACTCAAGTAAGAATACTGTACAGTTACTTCAATAAAATTATTACTCAAGAGCTAAAAGTATACTGTTAAAACTACTTTGAAAACTATACAATTTCTTTAAAAGGTTAGCTACTCAAGTAAATGTAACTGAGTACTATTGACCTCAGTTCATATGCATTAAAACACCAGGAATTTCAAGATAGGTAGGTTTTAACAGTTTACATCTTTGTAGTATTTCTTGTCTTGTTTCAAATAATATAACCTATACAATTGCAATGAATACAGTTTAGATAAAGCGACTCAACACTGTTCAATTATGCCTTTCAATTCCATGTCAAATTATATTATAAATCATATTATTAAAAAAAATCCAGTTGCATTTATTTGCTGAAAAACGCTGTTGGTACCTTTGAACTACATCTCCCATCATGTTTTATCAATTTTGCGCATGCGCAGTTTTGTTTATTTGGAACACAGAGAACCGGAAGCTCTAGTCTGAAGATTGACCGATCGGGAGCGGACTTGGTAAACTTTTCTCTTCTTATATATTTTTGTTATAACGTCCACAACTATTAAATTAAATCCATATTTACATTTTGCATCTATTTCTGGGGCAGATGTCTGTTGTATGAAGACTAACGAGCAAATTTGACCGAGATGTAATGGTTAGGCTAATCAGCTAAGTTAGCAGGTTGAGGCTAAAGTGAGGCTAGCATGGGCCCTTCATTCAGAACACAACTGTCTGATTTTGTTTATTTATTTTGTGCAAAGTCTTAAATCTTGTCTATATAATCTCATATATGGATGTATCGATGCATTGTCTTGAGATCGGTGCTTGTTATGTCTGTTATGTTGTTGTAAAGAGGATGAAAATGTAGGAAAACTGACCATCTTGTAATGACGGACTAAAGATTAACAAACACCAAGGCAGATTTAGGACTATTTTCATATTAAATGGGATAAAATGAATATGACAATTTAAAAAAGGGAAAGATATAAGAATTTTCCATAATCAAAAGAATAAAAAGGATGTCAAGAAAATATAGGTAAAATAAAATAAGAAAGAAAGAAAATTATATACTGGCTTGTCTTGTCTGTATACATTATAACATGCACTGTATTTAATTAACTTTTTTTATTCTTACTATTTTCTTTTTAATACTATGAACCAGATATTACGTTTTCTTAATAAAGATTGAATTAAATATATAAAATTATATGGACATGACATAAAATTATATATATGGACATGAAAAAATTTAAATAAATACAGTTTAATTATGTTTATTATTATTATTATTATTATAACATTTAGGAGTATTTTGTCTGACCTTTGGAATTTTAGTAGTTATGTAGTTTTTATTCATTTCCATACTGTGCTCTCATTATGTCATTATGTACAGCTTATTTCTACTTCATGAAAAATCTTCTGTCCGGTTTTTACTTCCTCTCTGTGCATCATAAAAATTACCTGACCTTTGTCAACGCCAGTGCATTATAATAACATCTTTTATTACTTCTTACATTTTTCATCTTAATGAGATTTGGGTTTAGGTGCTTTTATTCCAAAGACAAGCTTATGGTTGCACTAATTGTTTTTATTACAATTATTTAATCTCATTCAATTTGTGGAGTATGAATGTCACTGCCTGCACTTAATCTTTAAATATCATATTTTACACAAAACTGACTTTTGTGAGCTTTAAGCCATATTATAATGTTGTTTCCTCATCACAAACATGCCTGGAGTTGTGTTTTGTTTCATTCACAATCAGTAATTAGTCTGGCATAAATCTCCAAAGCTCAAAATGCTTTACTCCACCTTGTGATGTCATCAAGGCGTAGTTTTCAAGTTAACAGCTCCTTTTACCTTTTGTTCAGAAGAGACTGGCAAATATGGGCTGAAATTATCATAATAATACAGGTGAAGGTGTGTGGCGCTTAACAGCACAGTGCAGCAGTGTTTTCAACTTGAGAGAAGAGCTCAGCCTAATAAATCTGCAGGGTTTGTGTGTTAAACATGTGTAAATTAAACAAAACACAACTCCAGGTCTGTTTGTGATGAGGAAACAACATCATAACATACTGTAGATCAGAAAATAGCATAATATAGACCTTTTTAACAAGTAATTTTTTACCAGCTTAGTGTGTTTTCTAAGTTTATGATAATACAATGAGCTACAAAGTCAAATTTTGCCATTCCAGTATAGTTAAGTTTGTTTTTAGGCTATGGGGGAATTCTGTTTTACACATAGTGGTCCGTGGGCGTACACTAGTCTGTGTGCTCTTTTACTTGTTCTGATACAGCTTGAGGTCATTGAAAGGCTGTTCAGGAAAGGTTCATTTCTGAATCATAATGTAATTTTTTATGAGACTAGAGAGATCTATAAAAGGAGAAGCTGTCCAGACAGTTTTTTGCTTCACGGCAGGAAGTACTTAATTCACTCAACCTGAATACCACTTAACTGTGAAACCTCATGTTTTCTACTCTATGCAAATTAATGCTTTCTAGTTATATTTGTAGTTCTCTGTTTGTTTATTTGTTTGTTACAATTACTATATCGACTTAAAGTTTCATATATGAAAACTGGAACAATACGTTTTCTGTGGGTACATTTTCTTTTTTAGTAAAGGGGAGATTTTTGATATTTTAGTTGTAATGCGAATACAGTAAGATTTGAGCTGTAGAGAGCTGAATAAACAACTTACTGCTCATCATTTGTTCATTCTGCTGTTTATTTGTTGCTGCTTGGGTCTTTTAATGATACTATATATTTATTCTTATTGTTTCAGCGGCATGAAGTAATTTCAGTATGATTGTTTTGATATTTTTCTGTAGCAATATATCATGCTTCAGTTTTTGTTATCGTGATGGGCCTTTTACTTTGTTAATAATGCAGTTAGTGAAGCAGGGAAAATATTATTAGCTGGTACATTATCTATAAAATTTGGTTTTTGCCAGTTCAATTCTCTATGGTTGTGGATCATTATCTCCCATTTTCATTCCACCCGGGTGTGTGGTCAGCTGAGGTTGTGTTTAAATGTGCTTTTAAAGGTGCACTAATAATTTTTTGTACAGGAGCGAAGGGCACAGCTTTTTGTCTCCATGGAGGTGTTATTCCAAGTACTTCCGTTCTCAGTTGCTCTTATATAACTTCTTATTGTCCTGCATTATGACAAAATTGACCCTTGTGCATTTTAACACATGTTATAATGTTACCTCATCACAAACGTACCTGGAGTTGTGTTTTGTTTTATTCATACACATTTGAGTAATCCTTTATTCTTAGTCTGTCTATATCTCCAAAGCTCATAATGATTTTCTTAATCAACCTTGTGATGTCATGAAGCAATGAAGCAGTAGTTTTCATGTTAACAAACAACTACCTTTTTCCTTTTATTCATTATAGACAGACAATTAAAGAGCTGCAATCATTCAAATTTAAATAAATATGCAGGGTTTGTGTGTTAAACATTTATGAATGAAACAAAACACAACTCTAGGTCTGTTTGTGATGAGGAAACAACATTACAACATAGAACAGAAGCGCAATATGGGTCCTTGAAACTACTTCTATGTCTCCCTCTGCAGGTGACATGGAGAGGTGAGGTGTCCCGGGCTCCACAGCCATGACGGAGTGCTTCCTGCCCCCCAGCAGCAGCCCGGCCGAGCAGCGGCGGGCGGAGCACCCTGGGGGAGTGGCCCGCACGCCCAGCTCAGAGGAGATCAGTCCCACAAAGTTCCCAGGACTGTACCGCACTGGAGAGCCATCCCCTCCTCACGATGGACACCACCACGAGCCCCCCGATGTCTACGTGTCCGACGATGACAAGGAGCACAATAAGAAGAAGAACAAGTTTAAGAAGAAGGAGAAAAGAAGTAAGTAGCACTGTAGTCCACTGAAGACATGTCCTGCAAATCAACTATGAAAACATGTACATTGCTTATACTTTAGTACACACTTAGTCACTTGAAGAAATTATAAAAAAAAAAAAGCACTAGGAAACAATGTCTCTTAATCTGCTTTTTACATAGAAATACCAAAAAATACCAAATCTTCTGCTAACTCACTCACTCACTTCTCCTTACTGCTGTTTTCCCATTTGAATGTTTTTTTAATCATAATAAAAACTTCAGTTGACAAAGACTCCATCAACCAATTAATTGACTAAAGGACTAAAGCCCTATAGATCAGTAAGTCAGAATGAAGCATTTCTTTTTTTCCCATAGAGTCTTGTCATTGTAGTAGCAACGAGCTACAAATAAACAAGTATAAAAATACTTTATAATATGGAGTCTTTCCTTATAGGCCTACCCGGAAACACTTTAGTAGGTAATGAGTCAAATGTTATTGTAGTACACTTCCCCCACTAGTTCAAAAAAAAGCACCTTGTCAGACTGTATAAAGAAGTGGACTTAAGGCTGCCACACACATATTGAGCTGAGTCAAATAAAACCCACCAAAACTACACTACGGCAACCGCCAATCAAACAAGGACACAGAGGCACAATATACAAACTCGGAATACAGCAAAAATAATGAGAATACTTTATTACTCACCTCTTGTAAAGTAGTAAATTCAAAGTGAAGCTTCACATCCACATTATCTCTAGACATTGTCCCCCACAAATAATGACATCCAGTCCACAAAACATCACTATTAATCCAGTCTGAGGTGTTCTTTGAAAGTAAAAAGGTGAGAGTAGCTCCTCATGTGTGTTTGTTTACACAGCACTTGGATCGAGGTGAAGCTGCAGATTAGTGATACTGACTCTACTTCCTGTGTAATTTTATGCTTAAAAAATTATGTATATGAAATTTTGCACCACATTCCACAAATAATGACAGTTTGACTTGTATTTAAACTAGAAGTGCAGTGCTCTGATCTTTTAAACACTTAAGCGTCTCAAAGCGAGTCGTTTTATTGTAGTTCTCAGACATATCCCACTGCAGTCTTTGTGATCGGAGATTTTGAGTCTCATAAGATTCTCCTCGTGTGTGGTATGCGCTTTTGGTCGTACGTTTAAAAATCATTTAAGACCAAAAATTCAAGTGGTGTGTGGAAGCCTTACGGGACTGTTACGCCACTCACAGCTTTCGGCTCCAGTCAAATGAAGCTAGCAGTTATAGGGGTAAATTTGGAGCCGAGTTCCTTACTAGGAATTTATTTACAGACAAAATAGCTAAATAAAAACACCAGGATCATTTAGAGCAGGTTAATGCAACCATTTTAAGGCCAGAATGGCGAGGCTCACAGCAGCAGTTACAGATAGAGGAGCGACAGTTTGTCAGTGTAAAGTCAATTGGAGCCAGAGTCGATGGAGCCGGAAGCGCTCCCTTGCTCACTTCCTATTTGGAATATTTAGCTATGTCCATTTATATACAGTCTATGCACCCACCCTATATAAACACTATAGTTTTTTTTTTTTTCATGGAGCATCTGTTATTCTGCTGAGTCAACAGTAAGAGGAAAAAGGAAAATTCAAATCCAGTGTTTTGAAGTGTCCCTGTTTTTCTGAATCCCTCTTTGTCCCGTTGTCTCGTTTGCATGAATGTTTTCCATATCTGCCTCTGCAACAGTAGTAGTTTAAAAGTAGCAGTAGTGAGTAGTATTTGCAGAAGTAGTATCTGTAGTAGATGTCAGTAGAGATTAGACAGTTTCAACCTCTTCCTGTTTTTTGTTTTTAGGTCACTCACCTTTTTCACTGTTTCATAACGAGTAAAACAAGTGGGTGTCATCTTTTTGCCTTTACACGGGTTTTACTGAGTAATTTATATCTTTATTTCTATTTTTCAAAAATACTGTGATTTTTATAGGATTGCAGTTTGTTTATTCTATATCTGTGTGTAGAAGTATTATTTATAGTAGTAATTGTTATAGTATTATTTGTAATAGTGGTGGTAGTAGTAGCATTTGCAGTTGTAGTAGTATTATTTGTTGTCGTATTTGCAGAAGTAGTATTATTTGTTCTAGTAGTCTTTGTTGTAGTACTTAGCAGTAGTATTTGCAGTGGTAGTATTTGCAGTAGTATTTGTAGTAATATTTGCAGTAGTAGTATTTGCATTATTATTTGCAACAGTAGTGTTTGTAGTAGTATTTGTAGCAGCATTTGCGGCAGTATTTGCGGCAGTATTTGCAGTAGTATTTGCAGTAGTATTTGCAGTAGTATTTGCAGTAGTAGTAGTTACAGCAGTAGCAGTATTTGCAGCAGTATTTGCAGTAGCAGTATTTGCAGTTGTAGTATTTGCAGTAGTAGTAGTTACAGCAGTAGTAGTATTTGCAGCAGTATTTGCAGCAGTATTTACAGTATTATTTGCAGTAGCAGTATTTGCAGTAGTAGTATTTGCAGTAGTAGTATTTGCAGTAGTAGTAGTTACAGCAGTAGCAGTATTTGCAGCAGTATTTGCAGCAGTATTTACAGTATTATTTGCAGTAGCAGTATTTGCAGTTGTAGTATTTGCAGTAGTAGTAGTTGCAGCAGTAGTAGCTGCAGCAGTATTTACAGTATTATTTGCAGTAGTCGTATTTGCAGTAGTATTTGTAGCACTATTTGCAGGAGTAGTATTTGCAGTAGTATTTGCAGTAGTAGTGATTTTAGTATTATTTGCAGTAGTATTATTTGTCGCAGTATTTGCAGTAGTACCAATATTTGCAGCAGTATTTGCAGAAGTAGTGTTTGTAGCAGTATTTATAATAGAAGTATTTGTAGCAGTATTTGCAGTAGTACCAGTATTTGCAGCAGTATTTGCAGTAGAAGTATTTGCAGCAGTATTTATATCTGTTGATGTGACAGAGGAAGAGCTGGACAGTTGGAGGACACACCCATGAAGCCGATCAGAGGTGGGACTGGACACAGGGACAGATCTGGGAAAAACCCAAACAGGATTTAGTTTAGAAGAGCAGCACAAAAGGTAGGACGTGTATATAACCCCATTTTATCACATCTAACTTTATATAACTTTAATTACTTCTCTAGCACTTGTGTTGTCTGGAATCGGGACATTTTTTTTCATTTTCTCTGGTTCAGACTTTGCGGTCGGTTTAGCTTTGGTCTTGTCCCGGTTTGGTCCTTATCAAAGAGCCTATTTTATCTGGAGTTGTGTTTAGTTTAATTCACACATGTTGAACACGCAAACCCTGCGTATTTAAGCTGAGTTCTTCTCTCAAACTGAAAATACTCGTGCTCCACTGTGTTTTTAAACTCCTTACACCTTCACTAGAATCATTTGGATCATTTTAGCCAGTCGTTTCTTGTGTAAAACTTGAAAATAACTTGAAAACTACCACGTCATGACATCACAGGGTGGTACGGAGCATTTTGAGATTTGGAGATGTGGACGGACAAATAATAAAAAGACTATAACACAGCCCAACTCTCCATAAGTTTTTAACGTGGTAACAACATGGCAGAGTCAATTTGGCGTAATAAAACCTTTCATTAGGGGTGTGCAAAAATATTGAAATATCGATATATCGTATTGTTTAATGTGGCGATACAGTATTGATATCGTGGGCTGCTGTATCCATATATCACCAAGAGTATTTTTTGGTTTATTTCACTAAATTATTTTGTTATAGCGCTACAGTTTTGTTGCTTGTTTAGTGGAAGGAAACTTGTTTATGCGAAAAATTTGACATTTTCACTGTTTTGATGATTAAAATTTTTGTGTATCGTATCATACATGGCCTATGTGTCGTATCATGGCCTGTGTATCGAGGTATGTATCGTATCGTGGCCTATGCATCACACAGTGGCCTATATATCTCTGTATGTATCGTGCCATGGCCTAGTTATCAAAGTATGTATTGTACCATGGCCTATGTATCGAGGTATGTATCGTATCGTGGCCTATGTATCGAGATATGTATTGTACCGTGGCCTATGTATCGAGGTATGTATCGTATCGTGGCCTATGTATCGAGATATGTATTGTACCGTGGCCTATGTATCGAGGTATGTATCGTATCGTGGCCTATGTATCGAGATATGTATTGTACCGTGGCCTATGTATCGAGGTATGTATCGTATCGTGGCCTATGTATCATACCGTGGTCTATGTATCGAGGTATGTATCGTATCGTGGCCTATGTATCGAGATATGTATTGTACCGTGGCCTATGTATCGAGGTATGTATCGTATCGTGGCCTATGTATCATACCGTGGTCTATGTATCGAGGTATGTATCGTATCGTGGCCTATGTATCGAGATATGTATTGTACCGTGGCCTATGTATCGAGGTATGTATCGTATCGTGGCCTATGTATCATACCGTGGCCTATGTATTGAGGAATGTGTCGTACCGTGGCCTATCTATCGAGGAATGTGTCGTACCGTGGCCTATGTATCGAGGAATGTGTCGTACCGTGGCCTATGTATCGAGGAATGTGTCGTACCGTGGCCTATGTATCGAGGAATGTGTCGTACCGTGGCCTATGTATCGAGGTATGTACCGTACCGTGGCCTATGTATCGAGGTATGTACCGTACCGTGGCCTATGTATCGAGGTATGTACCGTACCGTGGCCTATGTATCGAGGTATGTACCGTACCGTGGCCTATGTATCGAGGTATGTACCGTACCGTGGCCTATGTATCGAGGTATGTACCGTACCGTGGCCTATGTATCGAGGTATGTACCGTACCGTGGCCTATGTATCGAGGTATGTACCGTACCGTGGCCTATGCATCGAGGTATGTACCGTACCGTGGCCTATGCATCGAGGTATGTACCGTACCGTGGCCTATGTATCGAGGTATGTACCGTACCGTGGCCTATGTATCGAGGTATGTACCGTACCGTGGCCTATGTATCGAGGTATGTACCGTACCGTGGCCTATGTATCGAGGTATGTACCGTACCGTGGCCTATGCATCGAGGTATGTACCGTACCGTGGCCTATGTATCGAGGTATGTGTCGTACCGTGGCCTATGTATCGAGGTATGTATTTTACCGTGGCCTATGTATCGAGGTATGTATTTTACCGTGGCCTATGTATCGAGGTATGTATTTTACCGTGGCCTATGTATCGAGGTATGTATTTTACCGTGGCCTATGTATCGAGATATGTATCGTATCGAGCTATGTATCATATCGTGGCCTATGTATCGTATCAACTTCTTATTAACCCCCAGCCCTACCTTTCATTATTATCTACCACGCAAAATCAGGGCCACAGATGTTCACTCAGGCCACAAGAGGCCAGTAAAGAATGAATGCATTATTTTCAACAGATTATTTGCAAATGGATCCGGGATTTACTTGTCCATTTGTGTATTCATAAAGGAGATTAATACCTTTTGTGTAGTTGTATAGAGAACTGAATGTGTCTTTGTTGTTGGCGTGCAGCAACAGCCATTGATGCAGTTATTCAGGAAAGGTTTTATTTCTGTCCTGTGATTGTAACTTTTTTTAGAATCGATACCTGCTCAAATGAGTATCTAGTTTCAATACTAGTTTAAGTATCGATTTTTATTTGAGTTTTGATACTTTGACCACCTAAAGTAAATGCTACACTGCAAAAAAGTTTGGCCAAAATTTAAGATATAAACACTTAAATCTATCAGAAAATGACTTAAAGGTACAGAAATTATCAGTCCATGCAGCAAGATAAATTTACTTGATAAATTATCTTAAAGTAAACTACCTCGAGACTAGAATTAAGCATCTCTGGTCTCTCTCTAAGTGTTCATGGGCTGGAAATAAGTTTATGGATGCTAAGTTTAGGGGAAAGCTATGATAAATGGACTGTAGCTTCTTTTCAACATTTATTGCTTATATTTAAGATTTTCTGACTAATTGAGTCATGGAAGAAATATATGTGACAATTTTTAAGATTATACAACCAATTCAGAACTAGTAAGTAGATAACAAATCTGAAAACAAGATGAATAACCTGATATAAGTTTTAAAATCTTGGCCAGATCAGAGAAATTTGCAGTGTAGGTCGCTTATTTTTAGCCTACTCATTTGAGCAGGTATTGATACTAAAAAAGTGCTATTATTTAATGTTGAAAATCACTTGTTATTGTCTAATTAAAGAGTGTTTTTTATTATCATCTTGGTATCGGAATCTGTATTCAGTATAGCCTATTCCTTAGTATTGAACTCAAGTTTTATTTATTTAATTAATTTGTTTGTTTATTTCATTCATAAAGTATATAAAAACAGTGTCATAATGTTAAACATACAAGAAATGAATGGAAAGGAGCAGAAAGAAGAGTCATCTTATATTATCTTCCCTCTCTTAACACTGATAGTTACTTTAAAACATTTCAAAATCAATTTCATTTCAGTCACAATTATTCATCAGTTACAAACAGAGATCATCACTTTTATGCGCAACAACTTCTTTTTCATACATACACATTGCACTGGATTTTATGAATGTTTTAAAATGCCATCATTGTACTTGATCCTTTGATATCTTTGTCAAGACTATTCCATAAATTGACTCCTTTCACAGTAATGCTTCACTCCATAACCTTGGTTCTAGGGATATCGTATTGTCAAAGTTCTCACAATAATATCGTGGACCATCACAATATATCGAATTACAAGTCTCTTTGCTTAAATTAAGAGTTATGGTGCAACAGTGGCAAAAAAAGACAGAGGGAACTACATAGACCATGATCCTTTGCTCCATTTCAGTGTAGACTACATGAAGAAATAACAGTTCTAAACACTTTTAAGTCTCAGTTCTTTGGATTAAGTTTTGTCAAGACATTTTAAGAGGAAAAAGTAGCATATTCATAGTTTTACCTGTTTAGCCTCCACAAAGTATCCCAATAAATATCGTACCATGAGATGTATATCGTGAAAATATCGTACTGAGAGATTTGGATATTGTTACATCCCTAATCGTGAGCCTCCCCACCATATCGTGAGTTTTCCCACGATATCGCAATAAATATTGTACCGTGACAATATTGTATCGTGAGACTTCGATATCGTTACACCCCTGCTTGGTTTGAATCTGGGTTTTTAAAACATGTAGGTTCCTTTTTAAATTGTAGTGGCTTGTTCTCGTCTCAAACAGTCTTTGAATATTTACAGATAATACGTGGCACTTTGATTTATATATGACTTTGAGGGGACTTACACTCCCGTTTTTGAACATCACACTTTTTACAGTTTTTACTTTTTACAGTTTACCTTTGACCAAAACATATTCTAAACTTTTGATTCATGAAAGCATCCACCTTTGGCAGATATAACAGCTGAACACACTCGTGGCTCGTTCTTTTTACAATAGAAATCAAATATTCTTCAGAAAGTTCTTCCCAAGTCTGTTGCAGAAGTTCTCATAAATGTGTGGCACTTGTAGGTTTCTTGTTTTTCACTCTTCTGTCCAGTTCATCCCAAAACCAGCTCGATGGAGTTTAAGTCTGGAGAATGTGCTGAACACTCCACGTTTTCAAGCTTTACCATCTTTTTCTTTTTTCCTGAGGTAGTTTTGGCAGAGCTTGGACATATGTTTTGTATCTTTTATCTTTTTTTTTTTAACCTCTGGCTGTTCGGTTCTTACCTTTGTACCATTTCAAGCTCTTCATTGGACTTGAATTGCAATAAATAACTGAAAAAATTAGGGTGTTCTAAAACTTTTGAGCAGTGTAAGTCAACAATATCGTACATTTTCAACACTTTTAACAAACAAGTTTAACAAATAATGGGTTTGATGGCTCTCTAAAATGACTGTCATGACAGTACTATAGAATCTTACCATTGCAGGATAGGGCCATTTCTGTGCACCATCTCCCCCTGTAGTCCTATAAGAGTCTGTATATTGTAGTAAGTGTGACGAGCGTTAGGTGCAGAGGGAGCTATGCTAAATAAGAGACTGACCTCTTTTCCTCCCCCTGCTCTGCTTTCTCTCACTCCACACTTCCTCTTTCTATTTCACAGCTCCTCTGGATGTATCACTGGGAGGAACAAGCTTTTCAAGAGTGTTTTTCTAACCTGATTTCCTTGTGTTTTGGTTCTTTTTTCACCAGCGGAGGGTTACGCCGCCTTCCAGGAGGACAGCTCGGCCGATGAGGCGGAAAGCCCGTCCAAAATGAAGCGCTCCAAGGGCATCCATGTGTTCAAGAAACCCAGCTTCTCCAAGAAAAAGGAGAAGGACTTTAAGGTAAACAAAACAAAAACTAAAATGTGTAGTGTATTGTTGAGTTGCTCTACTTTTTCAAAATTTGCTTTAATTGCAGATTTGTAAAGGAAAATACGGTTAGGCTTTGGTGTTGCACAATTTATCTCTAAAGTATCATTTTTTGCAATATCAGCAGAATCCGTGTAACAAGAAACAAAGAAACTGTTTAAAACTGATTATGGTGGAATAGTTTTAGTTAACACAAATTTGAAAGACTTATTAAATTTTATAAATGTAGTTTTTGTAATAGATGTACTTATTACTTTGTCAGTGGACCACTGTCTAAACTCCCTGGACCACTGAGGGATTACACAGTCAACACAATAATCTAAAAAAAAGTACTAAAATTTTATGTTGAAAATTACATTCTTTTGTCTAAAGAAATTGTGTTTTTATTATAATTGTGATTGAATATATCGAGCCTATTCCTTAGTATCGAAGTCTCATTTGAAATTTTAGTATCGTGACACCAAAATTTTAGCCAGGCTGGCGCTGCCTAGTGTCTCCGCTCAATTTGATTTCTCTCCAGCGACTAGGTCAGGAATCAAAATACACCAGACGGTTTGCAAGAATCCTGGAAGTTCTAGACCACACACCGGCCAATGACTGAAGAGCTGAATCCTTGAGACTTCCTTTGTCAAATACAAATTCTGCATTTTTTATTGCATCTTTAATTCCCAAGTTCATCTCACAGAAACGACAATGATCGTTGACAGACATGTTCACTCTCTGCTTTGTTTACTGTTGTGTCAGCAATTACTTGGACACCACTGAGCGTTCCGGTGCATTACAAACGTCACGACCAAATAGCAGTGATTGGTTAAATTAAAAAAGTACCCGCCTACCGTCGAGCGAATGAATCCTAATGCTGAAAGGTCAGACGGTTTCCATGAAGTGAAACCAGATGATGAATCAGGCTACCAGATTCAGACTCCACAGATCTGACTTGAAACTTGGCCTAGCCGTGTCTCCCTCTTGTTTTCATGGAGACAGATAAGTTAATGCCATATTATGGAACACAGAGACAAGCAGGTGACGGAACCCTCCACCAGAAAAGATAGAAAAGACATTCTATATAAACATTTACAGTAAAGGACGTTAAAGCTACACACCCACGTTAGACCCAGCACAGAGCACAGAGAGAACCAGATGGAACATAATAGTCGAAAGATTTTACTCAACTATTCGCCCACAAATACTGGCCTCTACCTTCCATCAAAATGAACTAATACATTGACATCAAAATAAAACTTTAGTTGTAATTGATTAGCCCTGTGCTGAATATTCATAGATCGAAATTAGGCCAGACAAATAAATAAAATCGCCAGTTTAAGGTGCTGATTTTACTGTCTTAAAAATGTAAAAAACAGAACTATTTTTTATTAACAGCGGACTTAAGTTATTCTTCACTTAGACTATGCATTCAGAGCACCCCAATTATTCATTGCAATGAATTTATTAGCGCTTTTCACGACTTTCAGAGGCCACAGCGCTTCCTCATTTGCTGACAATAAATGGCTTTATAATTCGATGCAGACAGAACACAGTGGACCTATTTAGTATAACCTCAAAATATGAGATTATTGATATTCTGTAGTGACACGCGGGTGTTCTACATGCATCTATTGGCGGAATGTCCAGCAGTTACCATGGCGACACAATGCGCAATTACAAAAAGGTTTTCAGATTGTTTAAAACCTCAAGAAAAATACTAAATAGATTAAAACAAGACATTTTCAGGAGCCTGTGATCAATTCGAGTTTATGGTTCTGTTTAGGTGTTAACTTTTTGTTGAAAATCAAACAGCTGAGAGTGATTAACTGAAAAACTGTTTCAGATTATGTTAAAATGAAGTTGAGGTTCAGTGTAATTTGGGTAACAGAGCTTCAGACAGAGTAGTGATTTCACTTAGCGAAACTCCTACAGGAAATGTTGATGCCATCAGTTGCCAAGTATCCATACAATATCTATGTTTATCTCTGCTGGGGCCAGACAAAGTTCAAAGACAGAGAAAAAAATCAGCTACAAACCCTATAAATCTCAGTTTTCTTTAATTTGCAGGTGAAGGAGAAAGTTCCCAAAGAGGACAAGTCTAAAGACAAGAAGTCTAAGGACCTCACTGCGGCGGACGTGGTCAAACAGTGGAAGGACAAGAAGAAGAAGAAGAAGCCCGGTGTGGAGGCGGAGCCAGTGCAGGTGGAGGCTCCCAAGGTGCGGCCGGTGTTCGGGGCTCCTCTGTCTGAAGCTGTGAAGAGAACCGCGCTGTACGATGGGATCCAGCTGCCCGCCGTCTTCAGGGAGTGCGTGGACTACATCGAGAACTATGGCATGAAGTGTGAGGGCATCTACAGAGTCTCAGGTACAGAGATATTTAGGCTGTGGTGGTGTCAAAAGTATTGAAAAGCAGATACTAATCAATACTAAAACTACTATTGAAACTAGAACAGGTATTGATACTCAAACAGGTATCAATACTCGAAAAAAGTAGGGATGCAACGCTCCAGCTTTTTCAATTCCAATATCGATTCCAATACAATGTCAGTGCAAAGACTAAAAACAGCATTTATTTTCCTTTATTACAATTTCTTACAATTATTTACAAAAATTATATAAGGCAAAACTGATCCAAATGTGCTACGTAGCTGCTATTTATCTTGCAGGTAAATTAACTAAAATAGTTCAGAAAATACAGTAAAAGTTGCACCAGTCAAAAAATGCATAATGAAAAAGGAAAAGACATATTAGTTGCACTGAACTAAAAGTTGCATTTTTGGGGGAAATTTATTTAATAAAATCAGACACCAAGAACTGACATTTCATCTTGAAACACAAGTTATAGTAATAACAATAAAACGCAGAACAACAGACTGTTAATGTAACATATGAACAGTTCTTCAAATAACTATAACATAAACAACAGAACAGAAGAAGTTTACCAAACTCTCCATCTCACTCCAAATCATTAAACCCATTGACTTCTTCATCCTCTGTGTCACTTCTGAACAACTCCGCCAACTCGCTAAATCTAGCTTTTAGCCTGCAATTAGCTTTTTTTGTTTTCTTCATTGCAGTTTGAGTATCCTCCACTTTTCTCCAGTCAATCACAAGTTTCACGCTCACTTTAAACTTTCTTTTGCTGCTCGACTACCATTTTTGGCTATATATATATTCAGATATTTCACTACTTGCAGTTTGTAATCTGCCAGAATATGATTAACAGTTTATCAGCGTGTGTAAAAAATTTGTTATGATGCTAAATTAACATTAGTGAGTGGGATGCGTCTTAATGACCCATATGCATTAAATCAGGAGAGTTTGTAAATGATGAAAAGGAATGGCTCAAACTTCAGTAGCCAGACATCCACTCATACCTGATCAATACAACTAACCCTGCCCCCAGGAGAGCCTGAAATCTGCTGAAGTCCTACAAGACAATGACATGATACAGACAGGACAGAGGCTCTTTCTACAGGAGACATGTGCATTAGAGCAAAGTGACAGTGGTACAGAAGTAATAGGAGGAACAGATACTGACACACAAGTCTAGAGCCTCTCACAGCTGTCAGTGTGAAAGTAACAAACATGTGAAATTATATATTTTAATATATAAGTCACAGGACCACCCAAATCATGAAAAAAGTACAACTTATAGTCCCAAAATACAGTAAGATGATGTCAAGATGTTTGTTTTCATTGTTTTTGAGGACATTAGACTGACACTTATCTCCTGAAACACAAACATAATCCATGTGTTCTCATTACCTCTTTGTCAGGAATGAAGTCTAAAGTGGACGAGCTCAAAGCGGCGTACGACCGCGAGGAGTGCCCGTGCCTGGAGGAGTACGAGCCGCACACGGTGGCCTCTCTCCTGAAGCAGTACCTCCGTGAGCTCCCTGAGAACCTGCTGGGCCGCGAGCTGACCCAGCGCTTCGAGGACGCGTGTGGGCGCCCCCTGGAGGCGGAGAAGGTGGCGGAGTTTCAGAGGCTGCTGTCGGAGGTGTGTCCCGAAAGCCGTCTGATGCTGTCCTGGCTCATCACGCACATGGACCACGTGATCGCCAGAGAAGCAGAAACTAAAATGAACATCCAGAACATCTCCATCGTGCTCAACCCAACCATACAGGTACAGCTCTCTCACTCTTTCTTATTCATACTTAATACTTTTGGTTATTACGGGTCAAAGCAGCCTGACAGGTCATGCTGCACCACATAATCTGTCACATCATTTCACCAAACTTGGCAGAACAGACTGTAGCTGCTCCGTGATGCCAGGACCAACAGCACTGGCCTTTTTTTAAGCCTATATGAAAAATACTGGACTACTGCAATGTCCTTTCATTGCCTATTCACACGAGAACGCTTGCGGGTAAATATGACACAATATTTTATCGGAAGTGCCTTTCGTTTAGACGGTTACGGTGTTTTTGGGGCTTAAAAACGCAAAAATCTGAAACCACCCTCCAGAGTGGAATAGTTGAATACGCCCCACCTTAGTGTTTCCGTCTACACTGTCCAAGACGCAAAACTCTGGTCACATCTGGTCACGTCGCGTATATGTTTACATCACATACATGCAGTACACAGAAACAAATGTCCCAACAAATGTACAGAATATGCAGACATATTATTAGTGAACAGAGAAGGATCTGCAATTACCTCTGTCAAATTATGGATGCACCTGTTCATCCAATCGAATTGTACACACTTTTGCGTCACTGTATGCACGCAGATTTCCTCCCGAAAACGCTCGTCTAAACGCCGAATAAAAGTGAAAACGCAACGCAACTTATATTCAGTCTAAGCGCTGACCTGTGCATACTGTTGTTGTGTCCTTGGGCAAGACACCCACCTTTGTTTGGATGAAAGTTGTTAGTGCTGATCCAAGAGGCTGATGTTTTACGACGGGTTAACAGTTTCCACCTGTAGCAAAGTAACCACAAGATGGTAGAGATTAGAAGTCAGAGTCTTTCACTTGAGCTCTTGTTTAGGCAAGTTTAACTGTTTTTTTTTTCATCATAAATGCGTTATTGGTTATAAAACGGGGACAGACTTGGTTTCTCTTAACGTCTTTTATAAATAGAAACAGCCCCCAGCAACAGTCTCACCCACAGCCTCTGAATCAGTCAATCCCAGTTTGGCCCAGTTTAGATCAGTATTCCCATAAGAGCAATGCTCCACTTATCATGGTCCTCTGCAGCAGCCTCGCTCTGTTACATTTACATAAGACTGACTTCAGAACAAGTGTCTGCCGCTTTAATGATCGCAGGTATGTTCATGATCTTTGAGGAAATAAAGAATACTGAGCAAAAGTAAGTTATTAGTTGTTATTAAATATGTGAATAACTTGACCTAGTGGCATCACCGGCTTGTCTCCATGGAGATATGAGTTTAATGCCATACTGTGGAAGGGTCTAGGTAAAGAAATTAGTGAGTCTTGCTCTCGATAAGAATCCGATGAATTGCACAGCCCTACAAACAGCCTATGTAACAGATAAACCTACATCCTGTCAATCATTATTTAATCTTTGCACTTGTTTTTCCTTATCACATTTTTATATAACTGATATACTCTATTTATATTACTATATTTCTTTGTTTTTTACTTTACTTGTACATGTACATTTGTATAATTATGCCCTCTTTGACATCTGTCCCTTGCTATTTTTGCTACTTATTTAGAATTTATTATTACCATTTATATATTTTCTCTTTGTTTGTTGTGATGAGCTACTATGTCCAAATAATTTCCCTTGTGGATCAATAAAGTTTGTCTTACGTCTAAGTCTACTCAACAGTATACAGTATATATTAACTACCTGTAGATACAACCCTCCCTGATTTTATTTTCATGTTTGTGTCTGTTCCTCAGATTGGGAACCGTGTGCTGTACCTGTTCTTCACTCATGTCCGGGAGCTGTTCGGGGACGTGGAGCTGAAGCCCGTGGTGCGTCCTCTCAGATGGTCCAACGTGGCCACGATGCCGGTGCTGCCCGAGACTCAAGAGAGCATCAAGGAGGAGATCCGCAGACAGGTCAGTTCAAGGCTGAAAGGAAGGGAGCACGTTATAATTACCAGAGCTGCATGTTACTAAGTCGTTCTTCAGCAAAGTTAACTCAGACTTTATTTTATTTATTTATTTAGTTTTTAGTAGTTTATTGTTCTTTTCTTCAGGCGTTTAACATGTCAGGTTGATAATTTGCTTTAACATAACAAGACTAACTAAAATATTAAAGAAAATACAGAAAAATAACTAGGTTCATTTGCAGCTTTTTGGTTAAAAATGCTTGAATCCAAGTGCGCCGCCTTCAGTGCACTCTGCAATTCAAAGAAATAAAACATTCTGAGTCCAAAACTGTAAACTGAATTATGAAATTTATATATTAGGAATTGTGTTAATATCTCATCTTGTCTCTTTCTCGTGGACCCAGTCTCGTGTCTCATGGAAATTGTGTCTCATCCCATCCCTAGTAGCCACCGCAGTGTTTGGGACTCTTGAGGGCTCATATGCAGAGAAACGTAGAGCAGGTGCAGTCTAAAGTGATGATGCCATAAGTGATGTCGACATCACTTATGGCATTCAAGTGCTCCACTAAGTTACCACACAAGCTGTGAAAAGTGACCGTGGTTATATCACACAATATAATATATAAATTTCATAACTTGGATTTAACACTAAGCAACACAAAGAATGCACTCAAAGTCTTAGTGAAGTTAAACAGAAAGTGTCATTCTACAAGTAATTCTTTAATTTATTAGGAATTACTCTGGAGGACTTAATAACTGCTTGCTAACTATTTCTTCATGTTTTGAAGAGGGAGTTTTATGCAAGATGTGCTTTTTGGAGCTTTCTACTTACATTTTTCCCTAATCAAAAACATAGTCGAAGATGGTTTAGATGTTTGCGTAATCTAGTAATCTCTCCAGGGCCCTATTTGAACACATTCTGTTACATTCTGTCCTGTCTTCATCTCACAGACACACGTCACCTAATTGTTCATAAATATACAAAAACATGAGGCAAAACAATGCATTACAACTTCACAAACCAGATGCCTCGTGCAGTAGTTTCATTAGAGAAGTGCACACTTGTTTGGATAGAGCTGTGAAGGGGGAGTGACTTGGAGTAGAGAGTGTAACAAACAAAACAATTAATTTTGATACCAGTTTTAGTATTGATTTTTTATTTTTTTTCACAATATCTTTTGAGTATCATTTATTATATATATATATGAGTGACGTTTTGTGTCCAGAAGCCACAACTTTTCTAGTTATTAATACAGGGTAGCCATGGCGTCTTAAAAAGGTCTTAAATTTCATGTTCCTAAATTAAGGCCTTAGAAAGTCTTAAATTATGTTATCCAAGTCTTATTTTTTATCACAAAGGTCTTTCATTAGCCTGTTTTTTTGTATACTCAACCAGGCTGAAGTGCAATGTTAAATGGAGAGAGGAAAAAAAAACAACAACGTGAAATCATGTAACGCGGAATGAATGTTTAATTTGGAGTATGCGCAAACAATACTTTGGATTCTAGCACTGGCGGCAATGAGTAAACAGTCAGCAGAGTGCAGGAAGACGTTAGATGGATCATGGGGAAGTCACAGTGGCTCTTAGATTCTAGATATAGTACCATAGTTGGTTGGTCATTATTACAATTGGGTCTGGTGTTTTTCGCCTGCATAATGAGTGCGATGTTGGTCTTAATTTTGTTTAAAAATCTCTTTAAAAATTCTTACATTTGGTGAAGTCAAACCTGGGGATACCGTGTAATATATAAAGGTTTTATATTGTTTAAATTGATTTGTTTTGAGTCACTTTAGTTGTACTAATATGCATTTAGATGACGAAACCAAATTTGAAAAAATGTTATAGGTTTAAAGTCTTAAAATGTCATTCAGTGACACATGTAGAATCAGTCATCAGATTTGTTTGCAGAAATGATAAAAACTGACTAAATCAAACCTTTCTCTATGCCATAATTTTTAAAGCTTTGACATGAACATATAAAACTATTTTCAAAATGAACACAAGAACTGCTTTTAATGTCTTAAATAAAGTTGTTCCCAAAAGCCTATTTCATCAACGTCATTTGGTAAAACAGAGTTAAAAGGCCAATTTGAACAATAATCTGAGATCGTTCCTCATGTATTGTGTCATGACATCACTCTGAGGACACTGCAGGACTATGAAGTGCAAACAAGATTCAGATTTGGCTTCTTAGTTTCTGCTGTTCACGCCTTTGTCACGAGAAGTACAAGTGCCCTCATCGATTAATTTCTGTCCCTTCATTTAACAATGCTCTGGTTCAATATTTACAGAACCCGTGTAATTGTTTTTGATTATTTGGTTGAATTTTGTTGTTCATCTTGTTGTATTTTGTGATTATCTTTGAACTCTGACTTAGTTTTTTGTTCAGATTTGATTCATTATGTGTCAAACAGTCAAGTGTGAGTGAGCGTGTGTGAGTATGAGCGTGTGTGTATGTGTGTGGTGTTGATTTTGTTGTTTCTATGTTTATTTGATTGTATTTGTCTTTTGTTGTTGTGACTACGAGGACCCCCTCGAAAACGAAATGGCGAGACATCTCAAGGGGCTTATCCTCCAAACAAAATAAATTCAAAGTACAATTTTGGATGTCATTTGGTGCATTTAAGTTTGGATATGAATTTCCTGAACGTAAATATTAAGGACTTTGAATCGGTGCCAATGAACGCAAACAAATTAAAATGAGACGACTAAATGTTGTCCTCCCCCTGTCCCTTTGGTTGCAGGAGTTTTTGATAAATCGGCTGCACAGGGACCTTCAGGCTGGAGTGAAGGATTTATCCAAAGAGGAGCGACTCTGGGAAGTGCAGAGGATTCTAACGGCTCTGAAACGAAAACTACGAGAAGCCAAGAGACAGGTACGACTTTACTATCGGCCAATGGAATAAATCTACTGACAAAATATTATACAAAGTTAAAAGTGCATTGTGTAACTTTTCGAATCGAATGCTTCTCTCTATTGAGACGTTTTTTACTTTGTCTGGAATGTTCCACAGTATGGCATTAAACCTTTCTGTCTTCATGGAGACCAAACCAGGCCCAAGTTAGAGGTTAGATTTGTGGAGACGTGACCCCGCTCACAGTCAGAATTTTGTTTTTGTAGGTATTTTTGAGCAATAAAACCACCTGTAATTGAATAAATGTAAGGTAGAGCTGTTTTAAAGTCACACTGTGGAACATTCTAGGCAGAGCAGTGACATCTCCATAGAAACGAGCACGTGATGGACACTCCACCAGGAAAGTTACACAGTTACACCTTAAAGATCAAATAAATGTGAGGGTCTTGATGTCTGTTTTCAGGAGTGTGAAACTAAGATCGCCCAAGAAATCGCCAGCTTATCGAAGGAGGATGTGTCAAAAGAAGAGATGACCGAAAATGAAGAAGAAGTGATTAATCTGCTTTTAAAACAGGTTCGTAATCCAAAAATCCAAATTGAAATAAGGCAGAAATGTAAAGATGCTCTGTGTGTAGCCGCTGATGCCACAAGGTCAACCACGTGTCTTTAAAAATCCTCACGCTGCTTTCCTTTAGTCATGACTGTGAATGGAGAATAGATGGAAAATGTAAAGTTTTTGCATTTCATCTTTGTGTTTTTGTCTTTTTAGGAGAATGAGATCCTGACGGAGCAGGAGGAGCTGATTTCTCTGGAGCAGGTTTTGAGGAGACAGATCGCCACAGAGAAAGAGGAGATCGAGCGGCTCAGAGGGGAGATCGCAGACATTCAGAGGTACTGCACTTTTACACACATCTGTTTAAAATGCTCATTAAACTGTGGCTAAAGCGCTGTTGTTCCTTTAGTCGTCAACAGGGGCGCAGTGAGACGGAGGAGTATTCGTCGGACAGTGAGAGCGAGAGTGAAGATGAAGAGGAGCTGCAGATGATTCTGGAGGATCTGCAGAAACAAAATGAAGAACTGGAGGTGAGAACAAGGATCTGAATCTGTGTATCATTCGTTCATTTGTTTTTCAATGTAAAACCAAAAATAAGAAAACGAAAAAAAAAACAACAATTTTCTTCGTTATTTGTCTCCAAAACCAAAATTAAAAAACTGATAACGACTTGTTTTTTTAATTTTTCGATTTTGTGTTTAAATGAATAATGGAAAAAATGGATTACAGACTTTTCCCGTTTATGTGACTTAAACTGTGATGCCGGACTGAACCAGGACTGAACCAGGTCTAAACTAGGACTAAACCAGGTCCGGGCCCAGACCGGAACCAGACAGGGACTGAGACCGGGACTGAGACCAGGAGCGGGACCAAGACTGGGACTGGGACTGGGACCGGGACCAGACCAATAGTGAGATGAGGACTGAGATCGGGAAGAGGACCAGGATTGGGACCGGGACTGGGAACAGGACCGGGACTGAAAAAAAAGTCCGTCATCGCAGTTTAAGTCATGGAAATGGGAAACAGTCGTTAACCGTTTTTTTTTCCATTATTCATTTAAACACAAAATTGAAAAATGAAGTAACTCTTTGGTTTTGGAGACAAATAATGTAGAAAATAGTTGTATTTTCATTTTCTTATTTTTGGTTTTATATTGAAAAATGAACGAATGATACATGCATTGATCTGTACATAGCGTCTGCTCAGTCAGCACAACCTCATAGAAGCAGTTCAGTCATTTTAAAGGCATTCTGTTGGATGAAGGTTGTAATGAAAAAAGTGCCAGGGGCAAACAATTATCAATTCTCCAGTCAGTTTGTTCACATGTGTTTGGATGGAAAGCATGTGGAAACAACAGCTGCTGTGACTTGCCCAGACAGAGAAGGGATTAAGTGGGTTAAAAAATATATAAAATTGCATTATATAGCGTTCCATTATTTATTCACTCTCCCAATATGCAAAAGTCAATAAAACATACACAAGCAAGGTGAATGAAATGTATTTCCTGAGGACAGACAGAGGGTTGATTAGGCCTGAGTGCTTATTACCATATCGACTTATTGTTCAATATATGAAAGCTGGAACAATATTTTTCTGTGCTTTGTATTTATGTCGTGTATAATTTCTGCATTTGGAGTGATATGTTATGTTAATTATTTTCTAGACTGCGATAAGATTTGAGCTGCAGAGTAGAGATCAGCCAATATGTGCTGATGGTTACAGTGACCCAGGACACTTGGATATATGCTCCTAAAACCGATACATATCTGATCTTTTGACATGTGACTTCAGTCTGAACGGTCAGGTCACATTCATCTCACCTACACGTCAGGCTCAGAGTCTAGTTAATGGAGGGAAAGTGAGGTTAACGAGTTTATTAATAGTCAGGGGGATTGCTGTATTCAGGCCAAATTGGAGGAGTCTTATCAGAACTGGGCGGTTTTTGAAATGATTTCCAAAGAAATGTCTGAGCACGGCGGTCGTGGCTCCAATGTGAACGAAAAATAAAGAGTCTGCGAGCCAAACACAACAAACAACAAACAAACAAACAAAGCGGCCATGGACGTGTAACCTGTCCATTTTACGAATAACTGAACCGTATTTTGGGAGACAAGCCCAGCGTTTAGGCGACTTCTGTAAATCCTGAACATGCTCGCTGTGTGTGACGTCGTCGTGTCCTCCAATGCACTTGCGGGACTCTTTTGGGGCGTTTAAAGTTCACACTGGAGATCACATACAAGTCACATTTAAATGGAAATGTCAACAACCTCGCAAAAAGATCATATTTCACAAAAAAATCTGAATTGAGCATTGAGCCCTGCAGTTTGAACGTAGCCTAAAACTCTTACCAGTCATAACAGCTCATCAAAACAAGGATATTTACTGCTTTTTATAAAGAAATACAGTTAATATTATGCAGAAGTTAAGCATTTTGGCCTCACCCATCAATATTTTCTATTTCCAATGTGACCTCATGGAAAAAATAATTGCCCACGTCTGGTTTAGAGGTTTGAATGAATAACTTTTGTGACTTGTTAAAGATATAATATAACTGCTAGAGTTTCATTCTGACATTTATCTATTCCATCTCTTTTTTTTTAGAATAATGTAGATTTAGAATATTTTTTGGAGGATAAATGTGATTGTGTCAGTTGCATAAATTAGTTTCAATATTATCGTTTACATCAGCAGTAAATTGTACTTCAGAAGTTATTATCATGACAGGCCAAGGGTTGAAACTGCTGACCTTTTTGTTCATATTTTTAAGATGTTTATATTAAATTCTTGAAAATACTAAATAATAATGACAGCACTAACAAATGTACACCTTTTTTTGTTTACCTAGAACAAAAACACACACCTAAACCAGGCCATTCACGAGGAGCAGGAGGCCATCCTGGAGCTCCGCGTCCAGCTGCGTCTCCTGCAAAGCCACAAACAACAACAGGAACTCACCGTCCAACCCCCTCCTGAACAAGCCCCGCCCGCCCAGCCCAGCCCCGAAGCACGGCCCGAGGAGCAAACCAAGCGCCCCTCTGCGAACGCCGCCCCTCCTGCTACTGCTACGACTACTGCTACTGTTACTGCTGTGGCCAGCCCAGATCCTAACACCAATGCCAACGGGAAACAAGCTAAAGATCCACCCAAACCTTCCCCGAGCAAAGACAAACGAGACACCAACATGTGAAATATTCAGATTTAAAATTACATGTGAAAATGTTACTTTACCGTCACTGAAATAGGTGTTTTGACTTGGTTAGTGTCTTTTCTGTCAGCACAAATGAAAACTAGAGAGAAATATTTTTACTATTGCGTTAAAAATACAGACGTGCTTGTTGTCTCTTCAAAGACTTAAAGGTCCATGGAGATGTTATTGCTTTGTTTGAAATGTTTCACAGTATGGCATTAATCGTTTCTATCATCGTGGAGACCAAAGCAGGTTAAGTTACTGGTCAGAGCTGTGGAGAGAATACTTGTTTTTCTAGGTGTTTTTGAGCAATAAAACCACCTGTAATTAAATAAATGTAATGTAGAGCTGTTTAATGTCATACCGTGGAACATTCGAAGCAGAGCAATGACATATCCATAGAAAAAGAAGGTGACTGACTCTCAAACAAAAAGTTACACAGCGCACCTTTAACCATAGTTTAACCGTAAGACGAATGAAGTTCTATAGGCCCATGCCCTCCATCTGAAATGATGCCATCAAATTATAGAATAGACCTTTTTCACAACGGCCGGAAGTGCCGCGATGTAGAGTAAACGTTACTCTCGGTTAATGCTTTTCTGTGGCAAAATATTCATGTATTTTCCACCAGCTTCATAAATCTGCCCCATCACCAAACCTTCATCTAACAAGGTCGACAAAGGACATATTCTGTCCATGAAGAATTTATCCACGACTATCAAGGTAAGAAAGATGAAAACGTAAAGGCGAACAACGACGAAGCATTAGTGAACTACTCCTGAGTAAAACTAACATTATGGTCATGAATAAAACACAATGAGCACGTATACATGCACATCAGTATCCCTGTTATGATCGGGTTTTTTGAGTAGCCCGGTTTCTTCATGGTGCATGTATACACAGTATCCCGGTTTCAGTATCCTGGTTATTAGAAACCGGGATACTGTAGCTGGTATTTTCCGGGATACTGAGGTGCATGTATACGCACTCAATAAGTAACTTGTTAACTCAACGACAATTTACAAAAACTCAAGATATTAGCATAGACAGAGAGATTTGTGCAGTTTAAAGGCTAGACGTGTAATCTGTGAACATCTGTAGCCTTTAAACTGCACAAATCTCTCTGTCTATGCCAATATCTACATCATGAAATAGATTTTTAATTTTAATTGCAGAGTCAGTCTGAGTTAACAAGTTACTTATGTTTTATTCATGACCATATCGTTAGTTTTGCTCAGTAGTTCACTAATACGTCGTTGTTGTTCGGCTTTACGTTTTCATCTTTCTTACCTTGATAGTTGTGGATAAATTCTTCGTGGACAGAATATGTCCTTTGTCGACCTTGTTGAATGAAGAGTGTGTGATGGGCCAGATTTATGAAGCTGTAAAAGTAAAATACGTGCAACATTTCCACAGATATTTTGCCAGAGAAAAGCATTAACCTAAGTGACGTTTACCTACATCGCAGCACTTCTGGATGTTTTGGAAAAGGTCTGTATTGTTAATGGAACCTATTGCAGCTTTCTGCAGAACGGAGAGGTAATTTGGCAAAAAAAAAACATGAACAAGTACTACGTTTCCTGATATTTTGCCTCATCAGCACAGTTTTTGTTTCCCCCACTTTGATACAAGCAAAACAGTAAAGTGTAGCTTAGTTTAACCTGCTATTGTGAGTGGGACCAGAATTTGAACCGTGCCAAGCCTTTACTAAATAAACATTGTAATATAACTTAAAATGTTAAACTCATTTTCCAAATATCTATACATTAAAATCATTTTTTAATATAAGTTTCTGAACAAGGACCACCGTGCCATTATTACTTTTTTGCCCAAAGAGCCATTAATGGAAATTTCTCTAAATATTGTAACATTTATTATTAGTCAAATTATATATTATGAAGGAATTGTACCAGAAATTGTTAAAATCCCATATTATGCAATTTTTTTTTTTTTTTTTTTTTTAAACCTATTTTATAATGTTTCCTCATCAAAAACATAACATTTCTCTCAAACAGAAATCTCTCTGTTCCACCTTGTGATGTCACGTGGTAATACAGGGAGTGCTCCACTGTGGTTTTAAACTCCACACACCTTCACTAGAATCATTTGGATAATTTCAGACCTGGAATTTCCAATCTCTACTGAAAAAAAGGTAAAATGTAGCTGTTAATATTAAAAAATCTACCACTTCATAACACAAGGTGGAGGAGAGTATTTGGAGCTTTGGGAATGTCCATTTTACGTAATATAAGACCTTTAAAATAACTTTTGAGTAATATATACCACACATTGAAGTTTAAATATATCCTTAGATGCTTTGTTTAATTTAAAAAAAGCCCATAGTATTTTTACAGTGTTGCTTCTCCAAATTGGTATTGAAAATCTCAAACCCTACAGTGCTATAAACGGTTTATTCTTACTGTAAATACGATTTCAATCTCAAAATTCTGCTGAGAACTAATCGACACATTCTCCTGGTGAATTTTGCACATCGTAAATCTTTGGCGCAATCTTGATATCTGTGTTTATTATTATTATTGCACAAAATGAAACAAGGTTCAGTAACAAAGATCGTAAAAGATGATGACTGATTTCGCTGTTAGTCAAACTCCATCGGACTCGTAAAACTCCATCATTTCAATTCACTGCTGATCTTTGAGTTTCTATTTAAAGCAAATATAAATGGCTTAATTACTGTTATCTGTAGAAAACTGTACAATTGCAAACAATGTATTTTCCACCCTATGTTTTGTCATGTAACTTTAATTATTATTATTATTATTTAAAGGACCCATATTACGCTATATTTATTACGATTTATGTTATAATGTTGTTTCCTCATCACAAACATACCTGGAGTTGTGTTTTGTTTCATTCACACTTGTGCGTCTACGTATTTAAGTTAAGTATAAGTTCTTCTCTCAGACAGAAAACACTCGGTTCCACCTTGTGATGTCATCAAGTGTTAATACAGGAATGCCCCACTGTGTTTTAAAAGTCTCTATTTGGATAATTTCAGCCCTGGAATCGCCAATCTCTACTAAACAAAAAGGTAAAAGGGTTGCTTTTAACTTGAAAACTACCACTACGTGACATCACAAGGTGGAACCGGACAAGGAAATGAAAGAATGAAACAAAACACAACTCCACAAGTCTGTTTTTGATGAGGTAACAAATATAACATGACTAAAAGAGTGAATTCTGCGTAATACACATCCTTTTAAACGTGTTTGTCGGTGTGATTGGCTCTGCGTTGGTCACAGATAATCAATAGTTTTCCTTCCTGTGGCTGATTCAGTGAGTGAGTTGGACTTTGGTTTGTCGCTTGGTTGTTTTTCATTTATTGTCAAGAGAGACTGTTGCAGGTGTGATAATGCTGTGAAGAATAAAGTGTCGATGTAATTCACATAAACAGTTTTTTTTGTCTTTTTTATGACTTTGTACATAAACTTTTCGAAATACTGAGGCGTGGCTTACAATCTGAGTTTACATACGGTTTCAACTTTGATATAGTAGAACTGGTCTGAGATAAGTTTAGTTTGTTTTTAACCCAGTAGCCTAAACTAAACTAAACTACAGACTGTATATACATAATAAGGTTAAAACATGAATTAATATTTTTTGCTGAAGCTAGAGATGGGTAGAGTAACCAAAAACTGTACTCAAGTAAAAGTAACATATAATTTCAAAATAATATAAAATAATATTACTCAAGTAGAAGTACAAAGTAGTGGTCTAAGAAATTACTCAAAGGGTAAAAAAGTAGGTCCTATCTGGGAAAACTACTCTACTTAGCAAAAGTAACTTATGGAGAAACTGTCGGGACATAACATCTGATTTATAATTTGAAGTGAATGTAATTCGAAGGATAAAACATAAAATAATGCAGAAAATCTGGTATTTTCAAAGGATGGACATAAAAATTAGATAAAAATAAATATCTGAAGGAGCGGTGCAGGAAATACAAATGTTCAAATAATTTCATACTGTCAACATAAGTTTTAGTCACTTGTAGATTTACTCACAGTGAGAAGAGTAACCAAAACTTTTACTTCACTGTAAGAGTACTGCTACATCAATAAGATACAATATTTAGTTTTAAATCGTAACCAAGTTTTAGGATTAGTTTTTTTGTTCTCTCCCCTCCCGTTTGTAAAATAAACTGTTTAAAACTTGACAGTCCTGGCTCTGCTCTGGGGTCCCTCTTGCCAAACCTTAACACCAAGTTCTCAAATAAAATCAATTATGATGATTATCCTCTTCATCATTCTGAAACTAATCGACAGTAGTACTCAAGTGGTACTCAAATAATTTAAATTTTTATATAGCCTAATATGACAGTATAATTAAAAAAATAATAATATAAATCAATAATATTCAATTGAGAAAGAGGACGGTTCTCATACATTTTTTAGATATTTTCTGATGTGGTTCACAAAATAAAGCTATACCTTTCTTCCATTTAGATCAAAATCACATCCTACACTAAGGTGACCAGACATCTCTATTTATCCGAGACACCCAGTGTCCCCTGTCCCAGCAAATTCATCCAAAACCAGTGATTTGTCCCAGTTTAATACAAGAAATGTCCCAGGTGTGCCTATTTTTAACTGGCTCATTCCCTGCCAACAGTAAAGAGAGGCACAAATTGACATGTGTTCAGGTACAATACAAAAAAGCTGCTTAAAAATGACCAAAACACAAAGAAAATGTGACTGTACTGACTCACATGTTAGTTAGGGTGACCAGAATTTCAAAATAAAAAACTAGGACATCCCCGTTTTTTGGTATTTGGTAATAATAAAATTGTGAAACGAGTGTGTAATTAAGGAAAATTTTTATGCAGAGATCATTCACGACCAACATGTAAGTATAGTCACAGTATAGTCACATTTTCTTTATGTTTTGAAAAAATTTTAAGCAGATTTTCTGTTCTTCACCTAAACAAATGACAATCTATGTCTCTCTTTACTGTTGGCAGGGATCATATTGATCAAAAATAGGGACATCTGGGACATTTCTTGTATAAAACTGAGACAAATCAATGGTTTTGGATAAATCTGCTGGGACAAGGGACACAGAGTTCAAAACTGGGACTGTCCCGGGTAAATAGGGATGTCTGGTCACACTATTAGTAATACACGGGCCAAGTTCAGAACAGTTTTCCTTAATTACACACTCGTTTCACAATTTCATTATTACCAACTGCCCCAAACCAAAAAGTGTCCCAGATTTTTGATTTTGAAAATGTGGTCAACCTATTCTACACCCTGAAAACAATTTTATCCTCTATTTTTATTTCAAACTGGCTCTTCTTTCTTTAAATTTGTATTTTTACAGTGTCGCTTCTCCAAATTGGTATTGAAAATCTCCAACCCTACAGCACTATAAACAGTTATTCTTATTGTCAATATGATTTCATTCTCAAATTTCTGCTGAGAACTAAACGTTGCATTCTCCTGGTGAATTCTGCACATCGTAAATCTTTTTAGCACAATCTTGATATCTGTGTTTATTGTTATTGCACAAAATAAAACAGGGTTCAGTAACAAAGACCATAAAAGATGATGACTAATTTCGCTGTTAGTCAAACTATCAATCATTTCAATTCACCGCTGATCTTTGAGTCTCATAGTTAAGATCATGGATGCATTAAAATAAGTTCAAAATAAGGTAAAATAAGGTTCTAGGACTATTTAAAACAAATATAAATGACTTAATTACTGTTATCTGTAGAAAATTGTACAACTGCAAACATAATATATTTTCCACTCTATGTTTTGTCATGTAACTTTAATTATTATTATTAAAGGACCATTTTATTATTCTATTATTTTATTGTATTCTATTTATTTTATTTATTCTATTATTTTATTTTATTTTATTCTATTATTCAGTTTATTCTATTAATTTTATTTTATTATTGTATTATTATTCCTCTATTTTTATTACAAACTTTTTTTTTTTTTTTTGTTTGGTTCGTTCTCTCGCTTTTATTTTGAAGAGCATTTCCTGTCTGCCGCTACCGCCGCTCTGAGGGCTTTTATTGTGAAACGCCGCTTCCGCCTGTGTGTCTGGGCTGGGTGCTGTTTTATCCGCGAAGAGGAGAAAAAAAATAAACCATGACAAAAAGACAAAAGACAGTGACTGGACTTTAACTAACGATGCTTTAAAACTCCTGCTTTCTCACCATGGCCATCCGGGAGCTTAAAGTTTGTCTTCTCGGGGTAAGATCCGAAGATTTTTACAACTTGTTCAACGCTAGAGACGCATTCCTTCATTTAGTTACGAGGCGAGCATCAGATCACCGGAACATTTTTGGACACCACATTACATCTTATTTTTCAGATTTTTGCATTAATTTAAACACACCTGAACGCAAATATGTTTTAGTTTTACCACGATTTTCTACATTTTACTGTGTTAAACTTGCATCCCTTGCGTTAACTCGTAAAAAGTGCAAATTACCGCAAAAAAAAAGAGCCGTCATCGCAGTTTTAGCGCTACACTCATCTGCGCATGTTTGTTTTAATACATCTTTAAGATCACTTCGTTACATTTTTCTGTGTTTTTTTTAACAAATGCATGACGCTGTATTAACCATTACGTCAGTATGAGACGATCCTCCGTTAGTTTTCCCGCAGAGTGCGCAAAAAAACAAAATGCTGCGGGATTGAAATGCCGCTCTGTCAGTGAATTTAAAGTATTTGGGGCATTTAATGGGTGTATTTGTCGTTGATGAGAAAGACAGTGGAAGCAGTGGAAGAGCAGACACAGACAGGAGCGAGCAGACACTAAAATATGCAAGAGACTCTTTGTAAATTGACCTACATAAATAAATGGATTTTGCAGTGGGGCTTTGCAAAATTATAAGCATAAAAACACAATATAATTTTAAGAGGTGTCAAGATTTTAGTTTTAACTACTGGGAGTGTTTTCCAGATTGGCTACAGAGGAGGTAGAGTAAAAAAAAAGTATTGTACTGAAGTTACTTCAAGTTACGTTACTTCAAAATTTTGATCAAGATTTGGACTTGTGTGTCAAACGATCTCCAGACTCATATAATCGAGCTGAACAAAGATAATTTTATATATATATATATATATATATATATATATTTAATTTTTTAAGTATAGAGATTGTAGAACAGCTGGATCTATAGTTTATTTTGGATACATTTGTTTTTCTATGCCTTATTTCAACTATATTTTAAAAAAAAAAGTTTTATACATCACCAAACTGCTCTAAGGTACATATTTGTCACCTATATTTATTTTCAATTTCAAAGTTTTGCGTAAATTATCAATAACAAAGTGTTGTGTTTTGGGGTTTTGAGAAAATTGCTGAATAAATACATCGTGTAACTAAAAAATAATTGTCTGAATAATCGTGAGTTCAGTATTGGCCAAAATAATCGTGATAATGATTTTTTCTATAATCGAGCAGCTCTACGTAGAGGTACAAAGTTGTGGTCCAAGAAATTACTCAAGTAAGAGTAACAAAGTATTTGGGAAAACTTCGACACAAGTAAGAGTATAACTTAATAAGACAAAAATTAACAAAATAAACTTGATTTGAACATTCGATTGGTCAATACGAGGGGAAAAATATATCTAATTTTTTGTCATATTGCCCAGCGCTGTTACTGACCTTTGTATACTGACTTTAAATCACTGTAACCACTAAAATCTGACATTGTGATATCTTTAGAAACACGTCAAACACACACAGACACACAAACGCACACACAGACACAGAGGGGCATTAGTTACTGTTTAACCACATGGATCATTGGTCACATGCAGAGGGCAAGTGATCATTTTGGTCACAGTTTCTGCACATAATGATGCTAAATATAAACAGACTTCCCTGATATGACAACACTGAGTGATGCAACTTCAGTTAAGCAATGTGCATAAGTACTTGTTAATAATAGATCACTGGGTAACTGTATGTCATTACTGTAACTGATTAGATTTTGGGGTAACTGTACTTTTTTTTCTCACAGATTTTTAAACATGTACTTGTGCTTGCAGTTTATTATAATTCTAGACATGTACTAGTATTTAATTAGTGAGTTATTAGTAAGTTACTGAGTTCTCACGGCTGTATCTTCTCCAACAAACACATAGCAATATCGCCTGCTATTTTTACATCTTTTGGTTCCTGTTTTGGATTAAAGTGTGAACCAAAAAGCTTCTAAACTTGTGTTTCAAAAGCAACTAGCACAAGTAGTATTTTTCATGCGTACTTTTTACGTTTACATACTTTTGGGAGCAGTACTTGTACTTGCAATTGAGTGTATTATTTGCCAAAAAACTGTACTTAGACTTGAGTACAAATTTGCTCAAAACTGGCTGAGTCACAACTTAATGTTTAAACTGAACCTCTTCATTAAATAGTCACTAACCTTAAGAGTCATTCTTATTAAACTATTTTTTGATGCATTAATTCATTTTAATGGTTTATTTTACTAAATTAAGGTGTAGTTAAAGTGATATCGTTTATGGTTTCAATAATATTTGACAAGTCGACTAATAAAAAAAATAAGAATTGCCTAAAATAATCATTGGAATGCATCCCTACTCTATGAGATGTTACTGCTTTGCCTGTAAGATCCCAAAGTCTGGCATTAGACCTGAATATCTCCATGGAGACAAGCATACAGGTGTGATCTGTGCAGAGGCAAGCCTTCTCACACAAAGAATGTATATTTTATAGTATTTCTGAGCAATAAAAACATGTTTAGAGGTGGGTGGGTACATTTACTTGAGTAACTTTTTTGAGAAACTGTACTTTTCTGGTAACATTTTTTTTTTTGTCCTACTTGAGTAATTTTGTTAACCGTAGTCATACTTGAGTAAAAGTTCTAGTTACTCCTCTCACTGTGAGTAAATCTACAGGTGACAAAAACTTTATGTGGACAATATGAAATGATTTGAACATTTTTGCACCGCTCTTTCACATGTGATTTAATATTTCTAATATTTGTGTTTATCCTTTGAAAATACTCATATTTTATGCATTATTTAATGTTTTGTCCTTCCAATAACATTAACTTCAAATTATAAATCAGATGTTGCGTCCTGACAGTCAAGTATTGAAAGTCAAGACACGTATCGATAATAAAACTTGTATTGAAGCCAGATACTCATTTGAGCCGGTATCGGTACTAGGTCACGATAATTACAATATCAACTAATAAACTAATAACTGACTCATTTAATATATGAAAGCTCGAACAATATGTTTTACAGGTCAATATTTGTCTTATTTATTTTGCAATATGATAAGATTTGAGCTGTAGAAGGTTGAATAAATAACTTCTGTGACGGATTATAGATTAAAAGTAATGACTAAAAGTGTTGCATTCTGCCTTTTAGTTATTGCAGCTCAGCTTTAAAAAAAAAAAAATACAGTACATTCTGAATAAAAAACAGACAGAAATTAACTTTTGAGCTGATCTTGAGCTGTATCAGAACACGTATAAGAGCACATAGACTACTTACCTGAGGGATTGCACTGATTGTACTTCTATTTTCTAAAGAAACTGTGTTATAGGGATGTAACAGTAACCAAAATATCGTGATATCGTATCGTCAAAAGTTTCACAATAATATCATGGGGTGTCACAATATATCAAATTACAAGTTTGTTTGCTTAAATGTATAGGCCAGACTGGGCCACCTAGTGCCTCTGCTCAATTTCATTTCTCTCCAGCAACTAGGTCAGGAATCAGAATACACTTAGACGGTTCGGAAAAACCCCAGAAGTGCGAGTTCGCGCACCAGTCAATTGGTGAAGAGCCATACATTCTGTTTTGGCAATGATTCCCGAGATTGCGGATTTAAAGCTGGAACAAAGAGAATGTTTGGTGAATTTTATTAAGGGGAAAGGCATTATTGCCCTTCTTCCTACGGGATTTGGGAAAAGTTTAATTTACCAGTTTGCCCTGTTAGCGGCGCATTACATACGTCACAACCAAATAGCAGCGATTAGTTAAATAAAAAAAAGTACCCGTCTAATGTCAAACGAACAAATCCTAATGCTGCGAGGTCAGACGGTTTCCACGAAGTGAAAACGGCTGATGAATCAGACTACAAATGCATGGTTTTATAGTAGTAAAAGCTAATAAACATAGAGAACTACATATCCCATGATTCATTTCAGTGCAGACAACATGAAGAAATATGTTTTTTACTTGAATTCTTGGGATTATGACGGGAATTATTCGCACCAAATCTTGTCAAGGTATTTTAAAAGCAAAATAGGGTCCTATCTACGATTATATCAGCCTCTCCAAAATAGCGCAATAAATATCGTACCGTGAGATGCATATCATGAAAATATTGTACCAAAAGATATGGATATCGTTACATCCCTACTGTGGTATCAGAATCGGTATTGAGCATCAATATTCCTTAATATCATGTGAAATTTCAGTATCGTGACAACACTAAGGTTTATTCTTGAGGATTCTTTGCATGTTGATCCTTAAACGTGTATTAAAATCTGTTGTCTAGCTTTAAATAATGGTTCATTGGAAAATTGGTTCATTGTAAAATCGCTTCATGTCCTTTTATGTTCCCTCTGTTCCAGGACACAGGAGTGGGGAAGTCCAGTATTGTTTGCAGATTTGTCCAGGACCACTTTGATCACAACATCAGCCCCACAATAGGGTAAGACGATGATCAATAAACCTCATACTATCAGCAAATAGACCATCAGGGACCGTGGAGAATGGATCGATGAACCATGTGACCAGATGATATCACAGCTTTGTCCTTTTGCACTGTCAGAGCTCGGACTTTTGGGAATGTTAAGCAATGGCCATATTGGGAAAAGAAAAACATAAAAGTACTGCCTAATACAGATAAATAGAGCAGCTTTAATATGTACTTTTACTGGTTTAAAAACAGAAATACAATCACAACGGAACCTGGGAGGCCATTAGTTGTCATTTACCAAGGACACGTCATATTATCACTTCATTGCAAATTGGTTTTAGCTGCTGTATCTAGCAACACAAACAAAATTAAACGCAATTTTTTTATTTTGCCACTGTCAATAAATCAAATTGTTGTAACTTCACGTCATATCTTAGTTAAAGAGTGGGTTTCTGGAGCTTTCTATCATGTTACAGCATTTTTCCCTCATTAAAAACTTGCCCGGAGAGGTTTTAGACGTCGTTCATGCATGTTTGAGTAATTTAGCGATCTCTCCTGGGCCCTATTCAAACCCTTCTTATGTTTAGCTGTACAATTCGGTCCAAGGCTCTGCCCACAAGCCAACGTCACCCATGCTCCCACACGACAATTCTCCAAAAATATACAAAAACATACAGAACTACACAGCAATTTCAAATCTGATGCGATATGTGGTACTTTCATTTGCAGGATGTACGCTGATTTTGTTACGATAGCGCTCTGAAGGGGGAGTGACAGCATGGACAGCAAAAGGAGGAGAGACTTAGAGCGTCAAAACTTAAAGTGAAACTATATAGCAAATATAGCATTTTCAAAACAATAAAAGTGATCTAAATATAATGTAACCTCACACAGCAAAATGGATTGTTGCGATATTTGTGTGTTCACAAACTCACGAGAGTCCTTCTTGGAGTGTGTGTGTTCGCTGTGAGGGTAATTGGGTGGACGGACCAATCAGAGAGCAAAATTTTGACTATTTTGTTTGTGTAGAATGTGCAGAAGGTGAGTTCTTTGTCAATTTGTGGACAGAGAAGATTAGGGATGCAACAATAACCGAAATATTGTGATATCGTATCGTCAAAGTTCTCACAATAATATCGTTTATCAGACATCACAAAATATCGAATTACAAGTCTCTTTGCTTAAATTAAGAGTTATGGTGCAGCAATAGATAAAAAGAGACAGAGGGAACTACATAGACCATGATCCTTTGCTCCATTTCAGTGTAGACTACAAGAAGAAATAACAGTTCTAAGCACTTTTAAGTCTTAGTTCTTTGGATTAAGTCTTGTCAAGGCATTTTATGAGGAAAAAGTATCATATTAACAGTTTTGTTCGCCTCCACAAAATATCGTAATAAATATCGTACCTTGAGATGTATATTGTGAAAATATCGTACCGAGAGATTTGGATATTGTTACATCCCTAATCGTGAGCCTCCCCACCATATCGTGAGCTTTCCCGCGATATCGAAATAAATATCGTATCGTGAGGTTTGTACCGTGACGATATCGTATCGTGAGACTTGGATATCGTTACACCCCTAGAGAAGATTTATGTGCTTTAATCTCAACTGGATGTAACAAAGGTTTGATTTTCTTTTGGTTTGTTCTGATGTTGTGACACTTCAAACATCTTCGTTCAACTTCATTTTGCTCATGTTTTATTTGTCTGTTGCAGAGCGTCTTTCTTGACCAAAACAGTGCCAAGTGGGAATGAACTACACAAGTTTTTAATCTGGGACACAGCCGGACAGGAACGGGTGAGAGATTTTTCACTATCTATAAATGTTTATATACATTTCTTTTTATTGGCGCTGTCCCATTGACCAAAGGCCTGCATGTATTGTGAACAGTATGTACGGATTCAGTTACATCTATATACAAGTCATTATGTACTTCATTCCTGCCGTGTTACAGAGATAAACAACCTGCAGCCACACTAAATGTCTGAATAACAAGTTTACACATTGTCTTTACTTTCTCTATAAAGTTTTAACATTGCATTGCATTTTCCATCTTGCATTTATTCAATTACAGGGGCTTTTGTTTTTATATCACCTTTAAGTAGTTCATTTTTTATCATGTTTTATTATATTAAAATATTTATTATACAGTATTGGTAGCACTTTATAATAACTCCTTCTCATTTAATCATTTATTAAGCATGATTTAACACATTTGTTAATCATTAGTAACCTGTTATTTCTTAATTATTTCTCATCAGTTAATCATTTATAGATGTATATGTTAACGCTTTGTCCATGGTGAAGAAGTCCATCTTACAGCCATTTGTTAAGTATTATTTAACACCTTGCTTAATCATTTGTACACACTTACCTTAATTTTTTCACATGATTTAATTGTTAGTAAATACATTATTTAGTGTCTTTAGTCATCATTAGTAAATCATTACTAATTCATTAGTACTCATCAACTATTAATATGTAAAAGCGTTATCTTATACCCTAATTAACCCACATACTCAACTAATGATTCGTTACTCGTTTCTTAATTGGGTTATTTCCCAGTATTGATCAGTTATAAGCACTTGTACATGGTCGTTAGAACAGGTTAAGCAGGAGGTGTTTACGCTGACCACATGATGATCACCCTTCATGGATGTAATATGTTCTTCTATAGGGACACTTGTCTATGCTGTAAAGACTCACTCATGATTAACTCATCAGTTATAACTGCTTACTTAAGTATTTTTGGGAGCTCATCTAAAGTGAGAATTGTCTACACTTTACAAAAAATTCACAAATTACCTATTAAGGTTTGTATTAATATGTTAAAAAAATTGACATGACGTGAAACCACACCGTAGAGGGAAAGAAAATAACAAATATTTAATTGGTTGTATTGAACACTCTTTTCAACAGAAAAGAAAATGCATCCATTTAAACTGACAAACTTATAACACAAAAAAATCATACATTCCAAGTATTAACTGAACTGAAATAAATGTCAATTTAAAAAAAAAAAGAAAAGAAAAGAAAAAAAGTCCATGTGTGCACATTTAGCTATCTGTGCTGCATCATTTCTTTTCTAATGGAAGAAGTTTGCGTTCAGTTTTGAACAGGGCGACTCATTGACTGGAATGAATGGTTGGTGCACAAATGTCCACGTGGTGCTTTTGGGTGTCTGCTACACGACGTAGCAAAAAAATATAAGTAGGCCTAATCATATATTTGTGTGAGTGTGTTTGTGTTGTATCCCTGTAACTGGGCTATGTTGTATCGTACCTCTGTTAAAAGGAAGAACCACTGGAGTGATTTTGTGCTCTCTCTCTCTCTCTCTCTCTCTCTCATGTAGAAGTTTAATACAATGAGATATAAACATTATCAACACTTTACATGTGGCTCATAAACTTGTGTGGAGACAACATGGCGGCTTCGAGTTCACACTGTTAAAAAAAACGGCTGTTCTTATATACACAAAAACAAACCAATCAAACATTTTCTTAGCCTCATTTAACATTGAAAATTTCCTACATTTAACTATTTTAACAATGTACAAAGAACCACTAGAGTGATTTTGCTCTGTCGCTCTCATGCAGAGGTTTAATACAGTGAGAGTAAAAAGCGAAGCACGAAATCCCCCAAGTGGTGAATGAAGGCATTACCAATCGCCAAATCAACAGATCCCAGGCTAAGCAGTCGATCACAGATAAAATGAATGTCACTGAAAAATAAACTAAAATAAACATTAAACATTAAATTAATCATAATCAACAAACCTCTTTACTGTTTTTAAATTCTAAACATGAAATTAACATGGAATCACACTATGAACTACATCACTGTAACTAGGCACAGAGCAGAGTATTAGGGGCATATAGTGGGGGGGTTGTTACTCTCAGCAGATAAATGTAGTTCCAATGAGGGGTTGAAATTAATTGACCACATGTTTTATGTATTTTCTCACCTGTATGATCGGTTTCAATAAATTTGTGTTTTTGCAAGGACTTTATGTGATGCTTTTAACTTCTTAAGACTAGAACAAGAATTATCACATATTTATTTCGGACTCTCGTGATTTGTAAAGCGTAGATATGGTATTGAATATCGTTTTTTTTTTTTTTTCTGTCACTGTCTTGGTTTTTTTACCCTCCAGTCTTCAATGTCTTAAGTCATGCAAACCGTAATAAGTAATTTGATAATGTTTTGTAGAGCATAGACAAGTGTCCCTTTAGAAGAACATATTACATCCATGAAGGGTGATCATCATGTGGTGAGCGTAAACACCTCCTGCTTAACCTGTTCTAACGACCATGTACAAGTGCTTATAACTGATCAATACTGGGAAATAACCCAATTAAGAAACGAGTAACGAATCATTAGTTGAGTATGTGGGTTAAGAATTTGATAAATTTGGGTATAACATAACGCTTTTACATATTAATAGTTGATGAGTACTAATGAATTAGTAATGATTTACTAATTATGACATGAAAAAATGAAGAGGTATGATTTAAGATGTATTAAGTACAAGTTAAATCAACCTAAATTGAGCATTAACATATGTATTTATAAATGATTAACTGATGAGAAATAATTAAGAGTTAACAGTTTACTAATGATTAACAAATGTGTTAAATCATGCTTAATAAATGCTTAATAAGGAGGAGTTATTATAAAATGCTACCAATACTGTATAATAAATATTTTAATATAATAAAACATGATAAAAATGAAGAGAATAACAAACAACTTAAAGGTGGTAGAGTAACAAAAGCCCCTGTAATTGAGTAAATGCAAGATGGAAAATGCAATGCAATGTTACTAATGATTAACAAATGTATTAAATCATGCTTAATAAATGCTTAATAAGGAGGAATTATTATAAAATGCTACCCAGTATTTTTATTATACAGTCCCACTTGCCTGTGTATCATGATTTTTAGTCACAATACTAAAATTTCAAACTCGATTTTGATACTAAAGAATAGACTCGATGCAGATTTTGATTCCCAAACGATCTCTTTTTTAACCAATATTGTAATTTTCAACACAAAAATAAGAGCATTTGTGATCTTACACTAGTTCTGATGAAACTCAAGATGAAACTGTTCAGAAATGATCATATTTTATCCTGTTTCTCTGATTTTATTTTTACCTGCTCAAGTATCTAGTTTCAATACCACTTTTAGTATCTGATGTTTGATATTTTTGACAACCCTATATGAAAATACCTTGAAAAACATGCATTATTACTGTGATCTGATCGTTTAATGCCATAATGTGGAGCTTATTTCTTGCCAAAACAATAACATCCCCATGGAGACCTGCGGGTATTGGACTCTCCACCGCTTAAAGACTTCGCAGACGGTTTTTCTGGTTCATTTGTCCTCAGCTCCTCGTGATTAAAGTTTATTATCACAATTAAACGTGGAGAATGGAGGGTTCAAAGGTGATCGGGGCATTACGTCATCGCAGTGATTCAGCTGATGGGAGGAGGGGTGTGCACATTTCCCAGAACAGCTGACTTCGTGGAAAACATACACAGGAAGGAAATACTACATCCATCACCGAGGCTTTAAATCTACACATTAGTTGCTTTCTTTTGTCCTTGTAAAAAATAGGATGAAAGCTGCAGTTAAATCATTGCTCAGTTTGGTAGACTTTTATATGAGGGCTGTTTTCAATGTCGAGTTCACTAATCTAAATTTAGAAATCTCAGATCCAAATACTACGAACTTTGTGGTCTGATCGATGATATATTGTTGTTTGGTCATCAAAAACAGACCTGGAGTTGTGTTTTGTTTCATCCACACACATGTTTAACTCACAAACCCTGCAGATTTAGGCTGAGTTCCTTTCTGAAACTGAAAACACAGTTTCTTCCTCCTGATATCATCAAGTACAGGAAGTGCTCGTTGTAGCCTTGGATTTACTTCACTTAGTTGCAGCTTTTGTTTTAACTTCATGCTCCACTTTTTGGTGCATCAGAAGAAATTAGAGACTTTCTGTCACAGGTGGGGCCAAATCGTTGTATTGCAAGTCTCAAGTAAGTCTCAAGTCTTTGACCTCAAGTCCGAGTCAAGTCCCAAGTCAAAGACAGGCAAGTCCGAGTCGAGTCTCGAGTCACTGGCACACGAGTCCAAGTCAAGTCCAAGTCGTCTGCTTTGAGTCATTTCAAGTCTTTAAACCAAATATATCAGATTTTTGTAGTTTATATAATTTTTTAAACTAAATTGTATTTAAAAAGTCTTGGTATATTTATATAAAAGTTGTAGAAATGTTAATTTTTCCTTTTTAAATACCTTAACAAGAGAGCGGATTATTTTGGTCAAAACAGAAAGAATTAAGACTTAAGAGATTTACAGGACTCAAGTCCCAAGTCACTGACCTTCAAATCCGAGTCAACTCCCAAGTCTTTGTCTATTTTATCAAGTCAAGTGTCAAGTCCTAAAAATAGTAACTCAAGTCTGACTTGAATCCAAGTCCCAACCTCTGCTTTCTATAGACGAGGGGTCTCCAATAAGGCTGGGTATTGTTCAGAAGTTGCCGATACGATACACACCTCGATACATAAGCCACGATACGATACATACCTTGATACAGTGATCTTACGATTCGATACGATATATTTCAATTTAATTTGTTATGATTCAATAAAAAATAAAGGCTAAATCAAGGCTGTGATACTAAAAGTGTTTGTTAAATCACTTCTTGTGCAAAGTTCTTATGAAACACAAACATTTTACTCATCAAAACAGTGAAAATGTCAAATGTGTCACATCAACGAGTTTCCTTCCTCTAAACAAACAACAAAACTGTAACACTGTAACAAGAAATACTCTTGGCAATATATCAATACAGCAGCCCCCAATATCAATACTGTATCATCACATTAAACAATACGACATATCGATATTTCAGTATTTTTGCACACCCCTAGTCTCCAACTTGTAGTTCTGGAGCTACCAGCAGCTCTCCATCCTCCAAGAAGCTCGCCAAGGGATTTCTGAATCATATGTTTTCTGCTGAATTACTATATTTGATTAAGTAAATGCCTTTTACCACTGTAAATGTGTCACTCTGATGCTGATCTTTGTGCACTAATAAATGGATAATAGTTGTGGAAATGTTTCATAGGCATCAAACTGTACTCTATCTAAGGCTTATATTTACTCTATTTCTTGCGACTGCTAAAATGAGTAGCTCTCCGGAATTTTCATTTTGTAAGGGTAACTCACCAAAGGAAAAAGAGGAGGAGACCCCTGCTATGGACAAACTCAACAGTACAAAGGTCATACTTGAATATTCAAAAGTAAAAGTAATTCATAAGTAAAGCAGTTAAAGCTAAAAACAGCTGTTAGGTGAAAGCTTTGTCAGACAGATTGACAGTAAAGGATTACCCAAACATGTGAATGAAACAAAACACAACTCCAGGTCTGTTTTTGATGAGACAGCAACATTATAACATGACTTAAAGCTCACAAGAACCAGTTTTGCGTAACACAGGATCTTTAAATATAACTTAAACTACTGTCAGATTATCACCAGGACTGGACAATTTGAGAACCCATACATTTAAATTCTCTCGTATTATTTTTAAATGAATAATAAAAAAGTAAGAATTGTTGCAGTATAATAATCCACTTTGTCTCACTCTGTTTTCCAGTTTCACTCTTTAGCGCCGATGTACTACCGCGGATCTGCTGCTGCTGTTATAGTCTATGACATCACCAAGCTGGTAAGAACGTTAGAAATACTTCACCGAACAAAACATCATTTATTTTTGTTTTTCTCTGACTCTGTTATGGTCTGTTACTCCGATTGACCTCTCAGTTCCACATTTTAGTGTTACTATTGTGTGAAACAACTGTAGCTGAGTTAACGCTTTTTCCATTTGCTTTGATCCCATAATTTTCCTGGTTTCTTAGTTGTGACGATACAACAAATTAAAGTAGTTGGTTAATGGTTACTAATATAAAGGTTCTGTATTACACAAAATTGACTCTTGTGAACTTTTAGCCATGTTAAAATGTTGTTTCTTCATCATAAACATACTTGTAGCTGTGTTTTGTTTCATTCACACATGTTTTGAGTAATCCTTTATTATTAGTCTACATCTTCAAAGCTCAAAATGTTCTGTTCCACCTTTTGATGTCGTGTAGTTTTCATGTTAACAGCTTTTACCTTTTGTTCAGTAGAGATTGGAAATTCCAGGTATGAAATTATCCAAATGATTCTAGTGAAGGTGTGTGGAGTATAAAAGCACAGTGGAGCACTTTCGTATTACCACATGACATCAGAAGGTGGGACAGAGGATTTTCTGTTTCAGGATAATATGCAGAGTTTGTGCGTTAAATATGGCAAGGCAAGTTTATTTGTATAGCACAGGTCGTACACAAAGTAATTCAAAGTGCTTTACAGAATAAGAAATACATTAAAATCACAATAAAAACTAATCAAAACATCATAAAATTAAAAAATAGAGAGACATTAATTACATGAATTAGAGAGACGAGTGCTCTGACATGTTAGTGCCATATGAATCATCTCACACTCTGAGGAGCTCAGGGACCGGCCTCCTGCTGGTGCCCAGAGTCAGGACTAAACACGAGGAGTCAAGAGTTTCAGGTTCACGAAGCTAAAACCTGGAACAGTCTTCCTGAACATGTGAGACAGACCTCTACTTTAACGCTGTTTAAATCCAGGGTCAAAACGGTTCTGTTTCACTGTGCATATGACTGAAAGGTTTTCATTCCGCACTCTTCTCTCTAATTTATGTCTCTCTTTTTTAACTTTAATGATTATTTAGGTTTTGATTTGTTTTTATTGTGATTTAATGTATTTCTTATCCTGTAAAGCACTTTGAATTACTTCATGTACGAATCGTGCTGTACAAATAAACTTGCCTTGCCTTGCCTTGCTAAACAGAACCGTTTTGAGCCTGGATTTAAACAGAGTCAAAGTAGAGGCCTGTCTCACATCTTCATGAAGACCGTTTCAGGTTTTAGCTGCGTGAATCTATAACTCTGACTCTCCGTGTTTAGTCCTGACTCTGGGCACTAGCAGGAGGCCGGTCCCTGAGCTCTTCACAGTTCGAGATGGTTCATGTGGCACTAACATGTCACAGATGGACTTTGGCGCTCGGCCACGGAGAGACTCGTACACAAACAGAGCCACTTTAAAGTCTCTGAGTCACAGGAAGCCAGTGCAGAGACCTGAGCACAGGATTTATGTGCTCGTACTTCCTAGTTCGAGTCAGGACCTGAACTCCTGGTATGTTTGTGATGAGGAAACAATATTATAACATAGATCAGAAAAAAGTATAATATGGGCCCTTTAATAATTGAATAGGGATGGGCCATAATTTTTTCAGTAGGACTTAGTGGAATCCAGGCAAATTCTCATGAGCAAATTTCTATAAAATATTGGCTGCTTTAATTGTCCATTACTGTCTATTACTGTATTATTTGTTTGTTTGGGGCATTTTGTAGGGGTTTTGTATGTTTCACTTTGACTGCAGTATTGCCTGGTATTTGTGAGTAAGGCTGTAATGCTTTAGTCATTTAGGAGCTGACGTAGTGGTGTCTTAGTCAACCAAAATTTGTCGACTAATCATTTCATTTACATTAGAAAAATGTAAATGGGACAATAGCAGAAAGGTGAGTGAGTGAGTTTGCTGAAGATTTGGTATTGTTTGGTAGTTAAATGTAAAAAGGTAGATTAAATTCACAAGTTGAATCTGTCTTTATCTAAATACTAGTACTTTTTACTGCACAAATAGTTAGTTTATAGTGTTTGCATGAACTCCCCCTGCAGGTTTAGTCTTTTGAGTGCAGTTTGGGTCAGATACACAGAGATACATAAAAGTTTTGAGAGCTTTTGCCACTCCCCCTTTTAATTCGACTAGTTAAAATTGACTTAAGTCGACTGCAGCTCTAATTGTGAGACGCTTGTACAGTATGTGGTTGGTATTT